GTGTCAGGCATGTTCAAAGCAAGCGCCTTCCCACCGCACTATTTCTCCTGCCCCTCTCTAAATTTTTTTAAAAAAACTAAACAGATACTAACCTGTAAAGTTCAAGTTTCCTGTTCTTTTTGATCTGCTCGGACTAGCATCCCATTATATTTCACAGTGATAGGGTCAAAGCTGAGTTGTTCGTCTGTGACAAGGGTGGTGCCCAGGTGGCTCTCTTCATCCAAGCTTCATCAGTGCTTGCAAAAGTTTCAGACGACAAACTTGGAGCAAATCAGTTTCTCTTTCTACCCTACTCAGAGTGGGAATAAGGGCCCCGGGAGGTCGCACAAAGGGCTGGAACGCATGTTTTGCATGTGGGTGCAATCCCTGGCAGAGAGTATTTCCCTGCTCTAGGGGAATGCTGGCCCCGCCCTCCCAGGACAATAAATCATTGCAGTAGTTACTATGTGCCAAGACTTGAAATGTTCAAGGCAGATAGATACTGTTCTTGCTGTAGTAGCAAAGAAACAGTGACATTGGGATTCTAGAAGCGTGACCCTGCTTGTCACCTCGATTAACATTTACTGAACTGTGATTTTGTTAGCCTGTGAGTCTCTTAGCAGCCTTGGTCCTGCCATGATACAGGTTATGCTGGTTTTGCTGGTGAAGAACTTGAGTCATGATGATAGTTCAGACTATTCCGGTTCCATTCCACCGGAGCTGGGATAGTCTGTGGTTTCAGGCACCTCAGAACTGAAAGATTTCTGGACCTGAGTAACAGTACAGTGGGGAGGGCCTTACCTGGCGTGTAGCTGACCTGGATGCCATCCCCAGCTCTCCCAATGGTCTCCTGCCAGGAGTCATCCCTGAGCACAGCCAGGTGTGGGGCGCCCCCCCCCCCAAAAAAAAACACCGGAAAGGATCTCTGTACTCACTTTATAGGAGTGATGGTCCTCTAAAGGGATTTGGGGGGATGTCCATATTTCCCCCAGGAGATGTGGTCAGAATTTTAGGATATTAGGTTGCCATTTCAGATTACATTTTTCAAAAAATCCCTTGCGCTAAGGCACTTTCCCTACTGTACCGTTTCTCATGGAAATACTCTGGAAGGAACAGTTTTGGGGGCGCCTCGAAGGCCAGGGGCTGTGGGGTGGGATGGCTTCCATCACAGTATAGCCCAATATATCTACCTTGGCTGCGGTAGGCACTGTTCCCTTTTCCTGGTAGGATCTTTATGTATGGTGGCGGCACGAACAGTGATTTATTCGTTCTCGGCCTGTTATTATCCGTTCCTCCCTGTCGCTGCCAGTGGTTATCACTCAGTGTAAGAAATTCTCACTGGATCAGGCGCAGAAACGAAATTCATCGCCCTTTTCTCTTCTGGGTCTTTGCTCTTTCCTCCTCCTCCTCCTCCTCATAGCATCCTGCTTTCCATCTGCTTGCATCAGCGGTTCTCAATGGGGAAATTTTGCTTTTCCCCTCAGGGGACATTTTCCATCTTCGCCAAAAGACTTAAGAAGGAGGATTGCCCGGGTCAGGGCAGCTGCTATAAACATTGGGGCCCTCTGCCGCCTCCTCTGCACAACAAAGGATTAGCTTTGCACATTCAGTTATTCATAGACTGTTTCTTGAGGGCTTTATTTATTTATTTATTTATTTGCTTTTTGGGTCACACCCGGTGATGCACAGGGATCACTCCTGGCTCTGCACTCAGGAATTATCCCTGGCGGTGCTCAGGGGACCATGTGGGATGCTGGGAATCGAACCTGGGTCGGCCACGTGCAAGGCGAACGCCCTGCCTGCTGTGCTATCCCTCCAGCCCCTTGAGGGCTTTTTTAAAAAGTTACGGTTCACGTCCTGTCTGAGATGTTCACTCATGGCCATGTTCACTCCTGGCTGCTCTCAGGGGTTACTCCTGGCTGACTCGGGGGATCCTATTGGGTTCTGGGGCTTAAGCCTGGGCTAGGTGCATGCAAGGCAAGTGTCATACCTGCTAAACTCTTACTCCAGCCCTGATAATTATTTTAATATATAAATCGCCCTTTCAATGACTTTCTTGGTAAGATGGAAAGCTCTCTGTTAAACCCAAACCAGATCCCCTACAGCAGTGAGCAGATGATTGGTTATCTGGAAAAATCTCAGCTTTTTTTTTTTTTTTAATTTCCCCATTGAAGCTCTAGCTTGTATGTTTTTTTGTTTGCATGTTTTTGGTTTTTGCACCACGCTCTGCAGTGCTCAGGCCTTAGTCCTGGTTCTGAGCTCAGGGATCACTGCCGGCAGGACCCTGTGAGGTGCAGGGATCAAACTTGGGTCAGCCATGTCTGCTCTAGATACCCATCTCTTTGGCACCTGGGGATGTGTATTTACCTATACTGATACCAGGTTTGAATCTGGACACTGCCCTGCCCACAGTGTAGCCCCGGATACAGCAGGGCCTGAGCACATGCCGCTCTCCAGCTCTGTCTTGCCCTGCTGAGGGAAGTCACCTCCCAGTTCCCTGAGGGCCACCCCCCCCATTCCAAGCTGTATAGTTATGGTCAGATGGGACCTGTTCTGATCGTAATTGTTTGTGTACTTTGTGATTTCAAGGTGAGCGGAAACGGGGTAATTACTGTATGTGATCCCTGTGACCATGGGGCTGTGGTGCAGTGGGGAGGGCGCTTGCCTTGCACTCAGACCCTTATGGTTCCCTGAGCCCCACATGATGATCCCTGAGTGCAGAGCCAGGAGTAAGCCCTGAACAACGCTGAGTGTGGCCCAACTCCCTCCTCAAAAAAAAAAAAAATTGGATGTCCAAAAGAAAAAAGGTTGGGGACTGGAGAGATGGTGCAGTGGGTGGTTGGGCTCTTACCTTGCGCTTCCTTGACTAGGGATTGATCCCAGCACTACCAGGTGTGATCCCTGAGCACAGAGCCAGGAGTGAGTCCTGAGAACCTTGAGGTTCAGGAAATGTCGATTGATTTTTACATTGTGTGTGTGTGTTTCTTGGGTAGGAGGGGAACTTTGACACCTGGGAGGAGGATTGTAAAAAAAGTTTGGTAGCTACCGTTGCTAATTCCAAAGTTTTTCAGGGAGATTACAGGTTCACTGTCCAGACTCTAAATAGCTTCCTTACCCCCAAGACATTCTAGTATATAAAATGAATTATTCAGATTGATATTTTTACTAATTATTACTAATAAATAATGATCTTGGCCTTTTGTTTTCCCACCTTTTTTGTTTGGGGGCCACAGATCACTGGTTCTGTTCTCAGGGTTCACTCCTGGTGGTACTTTGGGACCCAACGGGGTGCTGGGAATCAAACCCAGGTTGCTCTCGGGCCCCGTTTTTGTTCCTTTTTTTGGGGGGGGTTTCCCTTCTCTTTCTGTTGAGTACAGTCTTCACCAGAACCCATTGAATTCTCACTGGTTGAAAGCCTGGGGCCTGGGAAGCAAAGTGCCTGGGCTGGCGAGTGGGCAGCTCGGGCGCGTGCGGCGCCTGCCCCTCTGATGAGGCCACTTCCGCATCCGGTCCTTAGTGGGATTTGTATCTGGAACTTAAGCACATGGACACACCTCATACACTGTCACTGCCCTTCCGTTCATCGATTTGCTCGAGCGGGCCCAGTACCGTCTCCATTGTGACAATTGTTACTGTGTTTTGGCATATCGAATACCTCACGGGGAGCTTGCCAGGCTTTGCCGTGCGGGCGAGTTACTCTCGGAAGCACCCGAAAGGGGAGAAGGACTCGAACTCAGGTTGGCCGTGTTGGCTGCTTGCAAGGCAGACGCCCTACCTGCTGTGCTATCGCTCCAGCCCCACCTAATGCACAAAGGCCTTATTCATTGCGCAGAACAGTCTGGCAGGAGACGCACCCACCCTTCTTTACTCAGGGTGGGATCCTCCACTTTTACCTCCCAGGGCTGCTCAGACCTGGGTCTGCTTGCTCTCTCTCCCCTCTGACCTCTCCTTTCTCTGGCTCCCTTCCTTCCTCCTTCACACCACACCCAGTGGTGCTTCATGGGGAGGGCCGTGACAGTGAGGTGCCCAGTTTGGAATCTGGGTCTGCTGTTTTTCCGCATGTTCTCAGCCCCTTGGGCTATGCCTCTGGCCTAGGTTTTCAGTTTTTTTTTTTTTTTTTGCTTTTTGGGTCACACCCGGCGATGCTCAGGTGTTACTCCTGGCTCATGCACTCAGGAATTACTCCTGGCGGTGCTCGGGGGACCATATGGGATGCTGGGAATAGAACCTGGGTCGGCCACGTTGGCTGTGTGCAAGGCAAACGCCCTACCCACTGTGCTATCGCTCCAGCCCTAGGTTTTCAGTTTTACAACCCCAAAAATAGGGTTGGGGGGCCAGAGTACAGTGGGTAGAGCATTTGCCTTGCACACGACTGACCCGGGTCCAATCTCTGGCATCCCACATGGCCTCCCAAGCATCGCCAGGAGCAACCCCTGAGCATCACTGAGTGTGACCCAAAAAGGGGGGGATAAAAAAGGATTGGGGAGAGAACCAGCAGCCTGTTGTAATGTTGTAATGGTTGTACCGTTTTCCCACTTAGTATTTTTCCGGAGACCGGAGCAGTAGTACAGTTGCCTTCCGTGTGGCTGCCCTGCATTCCAGCCCAGCACCTCCAAGAGTGATCCCTGAGTGCGGATCCAGGAGTAACCCCTGAGCATCGCTGAGGGTGGTCAAAACAACAGAAACAAAATCCCCCCCCACCAGAAGATACTTTTGTGAAGCTACAATTATTTGGGCCTATGTTTCCCATGGTGTTTTGTCTCGGAATGAAACCCAGCGCGGGGCGTTGGCTCCTGAGCGCCAACTTCCTGGGAACTGGTTTCTCAATTAGCTGGGGTTCAGCAGTCCACTGCCAAGACTGGCTCGGTGGGACACTTCTGAGTGTCTCTGACCATTTTCAAATCAAAATCAATATTAGTCTGGTCAGTTCCCCGAAACGTCGTGTGGAATTGTAAACGTAGCAGAGCAAATACTGTCTTTTACATTGTTCTAATGGACATGCTTTTTTCTTTTGAATTCAGTGAAGGAGAACGACCGACTCCGAATGAAAAGAGGAAGGAAAAAAACATAAAGAGAGGAGGAAATCGCTTTGAGCCCTATGCCAATCCAACGAAAAGATACCGAGCCTTCATCACGAACATACCTTTTGATGTGAAATGGCAGTCACTTAAAGATCTGGTGAAAGAAAAAGGTAATGGCCCTGGTGGTCATAGGGCAAGGTCGTGTGCCATCCTCTCCGTGGCTGATTCTCTGGTTATTTTTTTGTCAGTGGCAGCTGTTCTGGGTGGAGCACGCGTTCTGTTCAAGCTCGGAAGTTGACCCCCCTCAAATCCAGTTTTTTCTTTTTTGGTGGTTTTCACCTCTGTGTCAGCCGGGGCACTTTGTATGGTCCTGGGGTTACAGATGTCTTTCCTGGTTTAATTTGGCTAATAGGGCTCGGATCAGCTTAACGGGAACCCCTCTGTGTTCAGAACATCTTTTTGAATTCTCTCTGTTAGGCGGAAGAGGTTTTTTCCCCCTCTTGTTTTCTTTTTTTTTTAAGCTTTGACACTGGTGGGATGGTAATTTGTTGAAATTTTGTGGCTGTCCTCCTGAGACCAAATTTGGTAGCTGGAGTTTGTGGCGTTCAGATTCTAAATCGTTACAAAAGAGCTTGTACTTAAATGAGCTTGTACTCAGAACTCTCGCCCCTTAAGCTGATCTAAAGGGAGATTGGCCGAAGGCTCGAAGTCTCCAGTTCTGGCTCGGGACGAGAGAACAAGCGAAGCTCGGCTGCTACCAGGAGGTACGAGGTGGTCCTTGGCCCCCTGTCCTCTGCCGCCTCTTGCTGTGGATGCCACGTGTGTCCTCTTCGTCTGCCCAAGCTGTTTGCTGTTGGGTTTTGTGGTCCTGCAGCACAGCAGTGGCTTAGAATAATGGTCTCAAGAGAGACCCAGCTGTCTGCCTTCCGCTCCGGAGGGAAGCCGAGTCAAAACCATCTTAAGCACAATCTTTTTTGAAGGTCTGGAAGGTATTTTTTTTTTTTTTTGAGCATTCATCGTGCATTGAGATTGGAGCTTGATTGGTCAAATGAGTAACATTCTGTGACAGACTTGCTACGTGGATAGGCCATTTCGATGTGTGGTACTGCCAGCATTGGGACTTGAAGTCACGAATGGCCCCTGCCAGCGTTGGCCCATCGCTTAATCTGACCATGACGTGCCGGAAGCAGTTGGCCACCCGTGGACTCTGTTCAGTCGTGTATGCTGCTCCCAGGTAGTCAGTCTCCGAGAGCCCAGCCAGAGAAATGTGCGGGTGTGAGGTTGCTTTTCCTGCCTTGGTGAGCCAAAGATTCCTGCCTGGGCTTTGAGGGCAGCCGGAACGGGTCTTCCTTTTGTCGGAGGGGCATGGCACATGGTGCCCCTAGATGCAGTGTTCTTGATTTGGGGGGCTGTGGTCCAACACAAGCTTAGAGTTCTGTAGAGTCCGGTTGGGTCTCATTTGAACGTGTTTTGGAAATAACCCCCAAATTTGTGTTCTTGTGATTTGGTTGAAGCGCTGGATTGCTCCTGCATTGCTCATCAGGTATAGTGCCAAGAACCAGGGATACGTGTCTTTGAAAACGTAATTGTTAGCATTTCGTAAGAGATTGCTGGCCAAATTATTTTTTCCACTTTTCGGAGTGTGTGAACCGGTTTTGGGACATGACGGATAAAGTAGGTGGCCGTTTTTACTGCTTCCCCACTCTGTGATTCCGTTTCGGAAGAAAGCAAGCTGGTGGCCGAAGCAGCTGGGATGTTTCTGGATGTAGAAGCAGTCCACCCCAACTGACTATTTTGCACTGTCCGAGCGTGGGACCAGCCTGGTGGTTTATTTGGATGCTTCCAAACCGGTTCCCATATTCCCTGGCATCCTGCTCCGAAAGCCCTGGTGCAGCCCTTTTCAGCGTATTCTTGGTGGTGTAATTTCGAATTACAGGTGTGCAGTAAATCCTGTTATTTTTAACAAGCCTTGCAGTGTTCTTGTTCAGCGCTCCCTTGTACAGGTTAAGTGACTTATGCATTGAATCATTAGCTGTGTTGGATTGTGGGCCTCAGGAGAAAGGTAACCTCTTCATGATAACGTTTATGTTCAGCACGTGATGTCTAAAGAAATCTACTGTGTTTTACATGCTCTTTAAGAAGTCTTTCTCTTTTTACGATGACGTTTTAAGAACGCAGTGATGTCTTGGTTTGCTTTTAAATACGATGAAATGGTCCTTTGGAATCAGATCATTACTTGAAGTCTGTTGCACGTAAGTTTTCAGGCTTTTTGAAGTCTGGTTAATGCAAGTCTTCATCACTCAGAGCACCCCTTCACGGGGACGGCCTGTTTCAGAGCTCAGAACCCCCTTGCCCCGGGATGACCTCGCACTCCCCTCCCCGGCTGCCAGCCCTGTCCTCCTGGTGCACCTTCAGTTTTGGCCCTGGAGGGCACCTAGGAGGTAGACGCTGGCGGTGATGCTCGCGAGCATTGAGCGGCTGCCCCGGCACTCGGCCTTTCCGGGCCGGCCCGTGCAGGTCTCCGGCCCGTGCAGGTCTCCGTCCCGCTCAGCACTGCCACTTTGAAAGCCCGACGGCGCTGAGATCGGGCTTCCCCTAAGCAGGCGCTGCTGATCCCCTCCCTCCCACAGCCTCGTCGCCAGACGGGAATTAATCTGAACAGCCCTGACACCTTCTCACGGCACTCCCTCCTTCCTGCTTTGGGTGTCCGGGCGGGTCAAAGGAAAAGTTTTCTCCTTCCTTTTGGCCCTGGTTGGGGAGGGCCACGGCGGCAGTGCTGAGGGGGTCCTGCACGCTGGACCGGAATCCGGACCATCAGCCTGCGGCGCCCGTGTGCGGTCAGTCCTCTGGACTCGTGTCCCCACCGCCACCCCCGGGCCCGCCTTGCTTGCTTGTTAATGGACCAACATGGCTGCAGCGAATGAACGCGGAAGAGTTGCTGGATTGGAAAGAGATCGAGAGTCCAGTGTGATGGCAACTTGGAATTGGCGGCTGCAGAGCCAGTCTTCAGAGTGTCCCCAGCAGACTCACAGCCGCCCAATAGACAGCACTTCATAGGTCCCGGGATACCCCTCGTGGAAGCTTTTGGGGCGCCAAAGGGAATCTCGGCATTCTGAAAAGCAAACGGCGCTGCCCAGCGTCTCCGGCAGGCCCTCTGAGGGTGAGGCAGGAGCGCCGGAGGCCGCTTGTTCTCCCAGGGGCAGGGCTGCCAAGCTGGCCAGCTGTGAGCAAACACGGACACTGGGTGGGGAAGGAAGGGAGGTCAGTGTGAAGTTCACTGCCAGTCGCTCCCGTACTTAGCAGCCATCAGTTCAGCTTGTGTGAGCAAAGATTTAAGTACTTAATCCTTCAGTTTGAATGCATCACTTTAAGTCAGTTGCTAGCCGCAGCTGACAGAAAATCGAGGCCCGGAGGGCACGCGGAGTCCAGTGGAGTCTCTGGCGACAGCCTGCAACTCTGGGGCTCTGGGGAGCAGAGCTTCGTTTTCGGTTGAGGGTAAAACCCCCGCAGTCTCCTTGCCGCCTCCTCGGTTGCCTCTGTTGGGAGGGCAGCCGGCGTTTTGGGGGCGCGCGGTGGGCACAGGGCGCCTGGCCTGGCTTCTTGGTTCCGAGAGGTAGAACTCGTCCTCTGCTGCCCAGTGAAATCAGAGGCCGAAGTGGGCTCAGGAATTCCGCCTTGCCTCTCAGTCAGGTGGGCCTCGTGTAATGATGTTGCCGTGTTTAAGCCGTCTCTGTGCTCTCAAGCACACCCGGATTGCTTCTCCTCTGCTCTCAAGGGCCCACTGAGAGGTGAGGACTGTGTGCCCCGCTTTTGAGGCTCCTCTGCCCTTACCAAAAAGCCTTTTCACCTGTGAACTCTCTTCAGTGAGGCCTGGGTCCCTGCTCTTTGCTTTGTCCAGGTTGAACATTAAACGGGTCCATACGTAGCACTTGGTAATAGAATTCCGTGCAGAAGCGTTTGAGGAGCTCCACGGGATTGCCTGAGTTTCTTTTGGGGTGCTCATTGATCCTTGATGTGTTTTATTCTTGAAGGCCGTTTTTCAAATCACCCAGATGTTGGTCACAAGTGAGTTCTCGGAGCATTTAAAAATAAGGGGTAGCCAGTGATACTTGGTGAATCTAAAACTCTCTCAGTTGTTTCACTGTTGAAGTCTGCAGTCTCACTGGCCCGCTGGTCTCCTTGGGGGACTCCGTGGAGAGTTGTCAGCGCAAGTCTGGCCTCTCAGCCCCAACTGAGCACGACTAGGCCAAGGGGCTGACCTCTTGCTCCTGTGGTAGCTGTCAGCCCTCCTCACGAAGCGCTTCCGACAGGGAGCCGGTCCTTTTCCTGGGCAGCACTGACCACTAGGACCTGGGGCTGGGGGGGAGCCATTTTGAACACATTTTTGGTACCAAATACTGCAGTTGGATATGTACTGTCACTAGAATGCTCCGTGGGCGAAGCTCCTGCTGTCCACGGCATTTCTAAGCGGGTTATGACCCTGGGATCAAGTGTGGTTTGGATTCGTTTGGCTTCTTCGTTGCAACACCAGCTTTCGGAAAACTGTCTTCGAGAGCACAGACTAGGAATGACTAGGAACGTTGCTAAAACGCACCAGTCTTTGAATTCTGACAGGATGGTGACGGCTGTCTCGACCTAGGTATTGTGAGTCCTATTTTTTTCAGGTTAATAGGCACAGCTGGTAGGACATAAATTTGGGATTTCTCCTGTCTTGACCCTCTGTGGCATTTTCATCCGAGTGGAAACAAGGGCTGTTGGCCCTCAAATGGCTGCTGCCGTTGACCCAGATGGCTTCGCACACGGCCTCAGGCCTGGCCTGGCCTCACTCGCTCGGGGTGAGGAAAATCCATGGGGGCGCCATGGTTTTACCCGCAGGAGTGCGTACCCCCAAAGTGAACCGCGGTGGGTCCCTCCTGTTTCCTCTCCTTCCTGTCGGTGCGAGGTGCTGGTGCGGTTCTGGAACATCGCAGGAAGGGACCAGGAAGGACGATGAGGCTGCCGACTGCCATGCAAATGTACTTGTTACTCATTTGCCTTGCAGATATTGCTTTAATTTCACGCCTCATCCTCTCCTGGCTTGTAGTACTTTCAAGCCTTTCTGAATTTAATCCCTGGAGCAAGGAGTCAGACGAGGCAGGGCTTGCTGAGGCCGTTCAGAGGGTGATTTTTGCCCTGGCCCTGCCGAACCAAACAAGACGATTGAATTGGAGGAGGCATTTTCAAACATCCTGAGAACATTTATCGCGCGAAGCCCTTTCTTGGCTTTGGCACCAGCTTTGAGGTGGTTTTTCTCCACGTGCCCCCTGTCTGTGGCTGTTCTGTGTGCCATCTTCAAGGTCAGCAGCCATTTTGGTGGTTGTCTTCTCGACGGGTTCTAACATTGGTCATGGTGGTCGTGACTTGGCAATCCAAACCTTTCAGGAAAAGCTGTGGAATCTCCTGAAATGCCCTGGCGCCCCTCCCCCCCTTGCGCGGGTTGGGGCCCCGTGTTGTCTGTCCAGCTGTTTAGATGCCGACCCGACTCTCAATTTGCATCATCATCGTCGTCATCATTATTTCGGTGCAGAGGCTTTTCTTAAAAAATTGCAAGACGAAAGCCTGGCTGCGTTGGCGAAGAGAATCCATGCGCTCCCCTGACGCTGCGGTTCCTATTCAAATGTCCTCCCGACCGTAGTGGCGCCAGCAGGCCGGGCTTCTGGTTTCAAAACTGAGCATTTCCCGAGAGTCACACCAGAAGAGTAAACGGAGTCCAGGGCTCGGCACGCTCGTCTGTTGAGTGCACGCCGGGCCTCTCCCTAACGCTTGCGCTCGCTTCGGTGGCCCTGGCTACCGCTGAGCTGCCCCCCCGCGAGAGTGTTTGTGGGACACTTCCTCCTGCCCCCGCAGAGCGACTCCCACAGACTCTTTCCTGTGGATTTGGATTGCCTCGCGTCACGAATGAGTCTTCAGACAGGGCAGCGGCCGTGGAGCTAGCTTGTCTGCGGTGGGAGGAGACCCCAGGACATGTTGTTCCCAAGTTCCACCTACTTTTTACTGCACACCTGTAATGCCTAGTGTGGTGGTTTGGAGAATGTGGAGTGTTTCTGGGCTTTCTTATAAGGCAGAGGCTCCATACAAGGTTGCTGACGATTGTTCTAAATTCCCATTGTTTTCTTGGCTTTTCTCCCTTGGTTTATGTGTCGTCTGGAAACTGATTTGTAGTTGGTGAGGTAACATACGTGGAGCTCTTAATGGACGCGGAAGGAAAGTCAAGGGTAAGTGTCTGAGAGAATTTCTTCTGTGGATTTACTACATGCAAAATGTAACTGTATGGTGGCGTGGAATCGAATGAGGCCAGGACGGCAGTGAGTGCCCATGGCAGAGCAGTCACGTTTGATTTGGCCAAACCTTAGAGTGGGGTGGGAGGGGGTTTGCCATCGGGGGAGCCCCGCTCTTCCAGACGGCTGGCCAAAGAGCTTTTGGTATTCTGTTTGGATGCCCCTTTTGGGTTCCTGGGGACCACTAGCAGGATTGTCTTTGTTAACCGAGGAACTGGCTGTGTGTGAATCATGCATGGGACTGCAGCGGTGGTACAGTCATGTAAAACGTGTGTTCTTGTCTAGAAAATGTCACTCTTGGTTGTTTGCTGCATTTGAAAGTGGTGTGAACCAAAGAGTCTGAAAAGTTGCCTCTGTGCCCGTAAATTGTAAAACAGACCCACAAAACCTGAACGCTTCCAATTGGCCGAGTCTAGCGCAGCTCAGCTTTTCCTGTCGTGCTTCGAATAAGCCAGAGGGCGTGGGAGCTTAATTTACGGAAGGGATGGATCTAGGAGGATGAGGAGGAGCTGACTGAACACCGAGGGACGCAGATCTAGAGTTCGTGTGATGATTTTTTTTCTCTTGAGAACGTGAATTCAGAGCTCGAGGTCTAGCGCAGTGCTGGTCACTCAGCTCGGGTGACTGGCGAGCCCAGCTTTCAGTAAGGGAGGCCAGGCCAGGCCGGGCCCTCGGTCAGCATGTCCTTAGGGGCGTTTCAAAACCGAAACCGAGACTTTTGTTACGGAAGTCGTATTTTATGTTCGTAACTGTCATTGATAATCACTTTTTTTTTTCTCTTCTTTTTTTCCCTCCTCCTTTCCTTGCTGTTCTGACTTGTGTGGCTTCTTCCAAAGGGATGCGCGTAAGTATCTTTTAGTTACTCGCTGGCATTTGGGTGTGGTTTGCGACGCGGACTGGCTTCACTCCTCTTCTTTTGACTCTCCGTAGTGTTGTTGAATTCAAGATGGAAGAGAGCATGAAAAAAGCCGCTGAAGTTCTAAACAAGCATAGTCTGAGTGGAAGGCCACTGAAAGTCAAAGAAGTAAGCGCTTGAGTGGGTTTTGGGCTCTGGGCCACACTCATCGGTGCTGCTGCTTAGGGCTTTTATTTGTTTGTTTGTTTGTTTATTGGGGGTCACCCCCAGTGATGCTCAGGGGTCAGTCCCGGCTCTGCACTCAGGAATTCCTCCTGGTGGTGCTTGGGGGGCTCTGTGGGATGCCGGGGATTGAACCTGGGTCGGCCCCGTGCAAGGCGAACGCCTCCCGTGTGTCCCATCCCATCTCCCATCTCTCCCAACCCCTCCTGCCCCCGCATTACCGTCACTTCGGCCGCCGGGCGCTTTTCCCCTTGCTCTGCACGCAGGGATTGCGCCTGCTGGTCTTCGGGCGTGGGTGAGCTGCGTGCCGGGCAAGGGCCCTCCAAGGCTGTGCTGCCTCTCCAGCCTCGAAGAAGTGAGCTCTGGACACACTGGTCTCCACTGACGTTGCTGAGTTGTTTGGGGTTAGGAAGAGACAGTCATGGTCATCGGCTCTGTTTGTGGAACAGGCTGCTCGTCTTCTGGTGGAGAGCGTAGCTTGCGGGCTTCTGCATTCTCGGGAGACCTTTGGGGTACCCTCGAGTGCATTCTCGGGGACGGATGGACGAATGGAGCGCTGCCCACATGCATCTCACCAGCTGCTGCTTTCTCACCGGGCCTCAGGCTGTGCCCAGCGCCTTGTGACTTTTTTTGAGGATTCTTTGAAGTTTCCTGGCCCCCCCCCCCCACACACACACCCAATTCCTCCACCCCAGTTTGTAATTACTTTTTTTTTTTTTTAATAATGTAGCCAAATCAAATGTTTTCTCTCTCTTGAGGAAGAGGAGGATTTTGTCCTGACAAAATCCCGCCCTGCCTTCCTTTCCCCACCCCCGGTTGTATTCAGAGCACCGAGAGGGTTGCGAGGAAGGACGAAAGGTCCTGGGTGTGGATGAGGCCTGACCCGGCCAAGCCGTCAGGAATAGCGTCTAGTTTCAGAGACTGATCTGGACTTCAGCGATTGAGTTCAGTGCTCGGACAGTTTGAAGGATGGGCGCCCCTGGGTGGTCTAAAACTGTGGTCCAGAACTTGGGAAGTTGTCAGTAGGGCTTGAAGAAGTTCGAGAATCCCCTCGATTTACTTGCCCCCAAACATCCAGGGAGCTCTTCCATTAGTCTGGCCCTTGCGTGTCTACTCCCTCGCCCTCCCCGTTTGGATGAGTTCAGCTGAGCTCCACCTTCACGTTCTTTTCTTCCTTTCTTCCTCTTTTTGCTGGAATTCTTCCTGGACTGTTGGCTGAGCTCCTTGCATCTCTTCAAAAAGATTTCAGGTCATGCTTTCCAAACCGCCTCTCCGTCTCTGACGTTTCGGAGAATATTCCTTACTGTACAGGCAGATGGTGGGCAATTCTGGGCCAGTTAAATTAATGCTCTTGTGCTTATTTTAGGATCCTGATGGTGAACATGCCAGGAGAGCGATGCAAAAGGTGATGGCTGCGACTGGTGGGATGGGTATGGGACCAGGTGGCCCAGGAATGATTAATATCCCACCCAGTATCCTAAATAATCCTAACATCCCAAATGAGATTATCCATGCATTACAGGCTGGAAGACTTGGAAGCACAGTATTTGTAGCAAACGTAAGTACACAGACACTTTGATTCTGTCAGTAGGCTCTAAATTGGAGGCGGTTAGCTTTTTTTTTTTTTTTTTTGCCGCCCCCCTCCCCCACCCCGCTTTTGGACCACTCCGGCAGTGCTCAGTATTTCTGGCTCTGCTCAGGGATGGCTGCTGAGGGCTCAGGGCACCTTAGTGTGCTGGGGAATCAACCCGGACTGTTGCTCCGGCAGAGACCGCTTGGGGCTGGGCACTGTTTCCAGAAAGGCTGCTTTGGTCTTCAGTGGCGGACTTGGCTGTCTGCAGACGTGGCAGCTGTGTTTTCAGTGTAGGGAGAATCAGTGGGGGTCGGCAAGTGTCCTTTTCCCCCCCCCCTCTTTTTGGGTGACACCCAGCGATGCTCAAGGGTTACTCCTGTTTCTGCACTCAGGAATTACTCCTGGTCGTGTGTGGGGGTCCATATGGGATGCCGGGGATCGAACCTGGGTGGGCTGCGTGCAAAGCAAAAATACCCTACCTGCTGTACTATCATTGCTCTGGCCCCATCTTGCGGGGGTTTTTTTTTTGTTTTTTTTTTGCGTTTTGGGTCACACCTGGCTCTGCACTCAGGAGTTACTCCTGGCAGTGCTCAGGGGACCCTGTGGGATGCTGGGAATCGAACCCGGGTCGGCCGTGTGCAAGGCAAACGCCCTACCCGCTGTGCTATCACTCCAGCCCCTCCACCTTGTGGTCTTGAGATGAGTGCAAAAGGATTTATTTATCGAAGAATGTGAATTGGGGAGGAGCAGTTTTTGAATATTCATAAAGTATTTTAATATATTTTAAAAATCGACTTGAAAGATAGTCACTCAAACTGCTTTTCTAAATAGCCAAGAAGCACAGTTTTTTTTTTTTTTTGTGGTGGGGGTGCACACCGTGGGGGGGGTTCAGGGGTTAGTTCTGGCTTCATGAACTGGGGGTGGGAGGGTTGCAGGGTGCCAGGGGTTGAACCTGGGTCAGCCTGTGCACGGCAAGAGCGCTCCCGCTCTGCTCTGCGCCCCTAAATGCGTAGTTAATTTTGAGGCCGGATTTCATAATCCTATTTGAGGACATTTTTTGTAGTCCGTTTTTTTCTGAATTACTTTCTCTTACTATCCAAAACGGGGCAATTTTTGTTGGTGTAGTCAATCAAGATGGTTGTTTCTTAACAAACTTGCATTGAGAATGTCTTCCCTCTCTTTTGATTAGCTGGATTATAAAGTTGGCTGGAAGAAATTGAAGGAAGTTTTTAGTATGGCTGGTGTGGTGGTTCGAGCAGACATTCTTGAGGATAAAGATGGGAAAAGTCGGGGAATAGGCACTGTTACTTTCGAGCAGTCCATCGAGGCAGTGCAGGCCATATGTATCCTTTTCTTGCAGTTCAGTCCCTGACGAGTGGTTTGGCCCGGTCGGATTACTGTCTCTTGGGTTCTTGGAAGCAGAGGCGACTGCCTTCGTCTTGCGGAAGTAGTCAGAAAGGTCCCCTTGCTGTAGAATTTGGAAGTGCCCAGAGTCCTCAGTTGGGCTTGCTTCAGACCGCGTGAATGGGGGCCACCGAATGGTCATGTGCCTTTGCTCAGCTTCATTTGCTGCCCACCAGGGGGATGTCAGAGAATGTGCTAGTGGAGAGAAAATGGGTTATTGCTTTATCTAATTTTTTATTATTTGGGTTTTTTTGCGGGGAGGGAAAGGCACAGTGTAGTGCTTAGGGATCACTCCTGTTGTTGCTTGGGGGCCCGAACTGGGGTTGGCTGCATGCCAGACCAGCTCTTTAGTTGCTGGACTCTGGCGCCATATCACTTTTTCTTTCTCTTTTTTTTTTAAAAGTTTGTTGGGGGCCCCCCCGACTTGCTCAGTGCTTACTCCTGGCTCTGCACTCAGGAACCACTCCTTGTGGTGCTCGGGGACCCTGTGGGATGCTGACGATTGAACCCAGCTCGGTTGCCCCGTGCAAGGCAGGCTCCCTTCCTGCTGTACTCCAGCTCGCCCATGCCTAGATTTCTGTGGGGCCTCCTGTGACTTAAGATGATTTCTAGAGGCAGTTCTTGCGGACATACACTGCCTGCTCCTGTTAAGTTTTTTGAGCGGCACAGACGGGCGCAGTCCCTGTCCCTGTGAATGGAGGCGAGACTGTTGCTAGAATGTCCTTGATGGAAAACCTGGGCCTCCAAAGAGACCCGCCGACACACATGCACGCACGCACTGCCATGCGGTTTCTGCGGACCCCACACCCTGCCCCCTGCCTGGAGCTGTAGTCGTTGGCTTTTTTTTATCCTCTCTGTGAAACAAGTACCTGAAAGTATAGAGAAGAATCGAGTTGCTGTATCCACCCGCTGTGTAGAGGGACTGTGGCATGGGGGTGTTCTTGATCTTTTGCTGTGCGTGTTTGTCGAATTGTCAGAAAAGACCTTAATTTTGATACCAGCTATGTTTAACGGCCAGCTGCTATTTGACAGACCAATGCATGTGAAAATGGTAAGTTAATCGCACCTTTTCCCTGTAACGTACTCCAATCAGCAACATGGTCTAATTGAACAAGTGTTTGACAAATATTTTGCTTTTGCCCGCTTCAAGATCTTTGTAAAAAGGATTTCCTGGCTCGGTCAGGAAGTCATCTGAGAGTGTCCTGTGGCACCTAGTGATCAGCGTCAAAGAACCTCGGGTCATACACACAAAGTTCGATTTTTCTCAAGTTACTGCACTCTTTAGTGCTTTTAGCTTCCTGTGTGTTGTGAATATGATTACCTTGTTTATGGTTTTGGGGTCACACCTAACTATGCTCAGGGCAGGCTCTGGGGGTCCTATAGGACGCCAGGGATGGAACCCCGGTGGGCTGTGTTCAAGGGAGCACCCCGCCTGTTGTCCTGTTGCCCTGGGCTTAGTGATTGCATCTTGGATTGGGGCTGCTCTTCCGAGCCATCCTGTCATACACATTCATACGAATGTTAGCCGTGTTGTGCCGCTGCCAGAGAGAATGGTTACCACAGCGATGACTGGACTATGCTGCAGGGCCTAGATGCTTCTTAAAATCTGGAAGAGAAACGAAACATCCTTTTTTAAAATTAATGTTTTTGTTGTGTTTGGGCCACACCTGGCAATGCTTAGGGTGGACTCCTGACTCTGCACTCAGCAGTCACTCCTGTTTGGTCTCAGGGGGGCCCTGGGTGGCACCAGGGATGGAACCTGGGTTTGTCTTATAAGGCAAGTAAAGCTCTGGCCTCAAAACGTTATGGTCGGGGTGCTGGCGATCGAATGCAGACAAGCAAGTGCTCTTGCTAAGCCATATCCCAGACAGAAAGAACGTAGTTCGGTATCTGGGCCACACTCAGTAGTGCTCAGGGTGACCCGTGACTGCCGGTGGGCTCGAGGGACCCTGTGGGGTGCTGGGGATCAAACCTGAGTCACGTACATGCGAGGTAAGCGCCCTTCCTGCTGCATTAGCGCTCGGCCCCCAAAGGAACTTTCTTTCAAGTTGCCTTAATCACTGTTCAGTTTGGAAGTTGGCGAGGCCTCATCCAGAGCACGTGTCAGCAGGTGAAGCGTAGAAGGGGCAGGGTGTGGCTCTGTGACGCCCTCGGTTCAGCACCCTCCACTGAGTGGCCATGAAGAGCCAGCTGCTGGGTGTGGGGGTCGGCAGCCCTCTCCCCCCGAAGCAGAGCACAGCAGAAAGATGCTCTTGGCGCCCAGGTCCTGTGCTTTCCTCACAAGTCCGCGAAAAGCTTTTCTTTGCCTTTTTCACACAGAGAAGCGTGGGAGCGGGTCCTCTGCCTTTGTTGCTCTGCATTTTCAGAATCGCGCTGACCCTGGGGCGCGGGCGCGTTCGGGTCTTTCCAGTCCTCTGTGGAGGGGGATCGTTTCTGTCCGTGTTTCGTGCGGCGCTGCCCCGAATACTAAGATTTCTTTCTTTTCCCTTTCAGGATGAGAGGGCCTTACCGAAGGGAGATTTTTTCCCTCCTGAGCGGCCACAGCAACTTCCCCGTAAGTGTCTCCACTGAAAACTTGCCTTGCCCCAGAGCGCAGCCAAAGCACGAGCTGGGCTCTTCTGCACTTGGGCGGGCGTGGTGAAACCGCATTGAAAGGTGGTCCTGGTCATCACGGTCTGGGGAGGGGGGTCAGTGGGGCGCGAGAGTGCTTCTGGGGAGCCTGGGGGGTGATGCTCTCTGTTCACTTAGGGGCTGTTGTATTGGAGAGCCGGTTATTTCACATGCAGGCGATGGGGTGGCTAGGTGATGCGTCACCAGGCTGGTGGGAATGGCCACCAGAACACACTGTCGGCCTCGCCACACCCCGTGGGTCTGAGGGCTGGGCAGGGGTTGCTGGGAGGCGGTGTAGGTGAGACCTGGGCTGCCGGTGCGGTGGGGGGAGGATTCAGTCCTGCCCCAGGGCTGGGAAGTGCCTGGTCTGGAGCACTGCTGGCACAGGTGGAGGAATGGGAGCTCCTTTTTTTTTGGTCACACCCAGCAATGCTCAGGGCTCACTCCTTGACTGCACTCAGGATTTACTTCTGGTGGTGCTTGAGGAACCATGTGGTATGCTGGGGATGGAACCTTGGTTGGCCCTAAGGAAGGCAAGTGCCCCCCCTGCGGTACTGTCGCTCTGGCCCCCGGGCCACTCTGTTGAACAGGGACTGTGTTTCCTTGTCAGAAACACTGATCTCCCTGGCAGTGTTCGCCCCCGAATTATGGTGGTGACTTTTGTTTTTCTGTGTATAGAAGGAGGGGAGGCCGGGCAGGCCGCTCGGTGCTTGGCAGCCTGGGCCAACACGCCGGGCCCCCGGGAGCCCATTATCTGTGGCTCTTGGTCCCCCAGCGCATTTCAAAATCCCGGTTGCCTTGGCGAGTAAGTCACCTTGGTGATCTGCTCTGTCCCAGACAGTTTCAAAACAGGGGTGTTGATCAGACTCAATACCTGGTAATTGGTCTTGGGGCTTTGTTTTACTTGATGCGGGGTTTTGTTTGTTTGTTTTTTGGCGGGTGGGGCTGGAGGGAATTTTGGTGCTGGGGTCCGGCTTTTTCACAGGCATAACAAGTTGAGCCCTCTTGGGCCCCTCTGGTGTCAGGATCCTGAACTAGAACTTCCCCGTTCAAGACTTTCACCTGGGGGTTGGAGCCAGAGCACAGAGAGGGTAGGGCGCTTGCCTTGCGTGCGGCTGCCCTGGGTTCAATTCCCGCTACCCACGTGTCCCGCAAGCCCCGCCTGGAGTGATCCCCTAAGTGCAGAGCCCGAATAAGCCCTGAGCACTGTGAGGTGTGCCTCAAAAACCAGAATGAAAAACGAACCTTGCTTGGTTTTGCTTTGCCCATCAGACGGGGCCTCCGAGTGCCAGCTACTTTCTTGTCCCTGTTTGTGTTTGTGCAACATGCCAGGGGGCACGGGTTGGGGGCGGGGGGCTCACTTGATCCAGCCTTCTTGCTCGGTCCCACAGCAGTTCTTGCGGTGTGCTGGGGATCAGGGATCCAGCCCAGGTTCTCCGCGTCTCAAGGCTCATGCTCTGCCCTCTTGCTACTTGTCCCACCCTCTAACATAGGTGTTGGCTGTTGTGCCGTTTTGTGTTTTCCCAGAGTCCTTTGCACGCCCTGCAGCTACAGGGAAGTAACTTAGAGGCAGAGTGCTGACTTGTCGAACGTCAGACTCTGAGTCCCACACTCGCACCGGCCGCCCTCGACGGGGCTACGATGTCGGAGAGTGAGGAGTGGGAAGATTTGCGTTGCTCAGCTCACAATTTAGAAAAATAGATGGTTGCATATGGAGCTTAAGATCAGAAATTTCTGTTACTTAAAATTTGATTGATTGATTTTGCTTTTTGGGTCACACCCAATGATGCTCAGGGGTTACTTCTGGCTCTCCACTCAGGAATTACTCCTGGCGGTGCTCGGGGGACCATATGGGATGCCCGGAATCGAACCTGGGTCGGCCGCATGCAAGGCAAGCACCCTCCTCACGGGACTATCACTTTGGCCCCTGTAATTCTCAGATGAGCTGATTTTGAGTTGCCGCTCTAGTTCCGTCTACTGCAGTCCGTTTGTGTATTAAGGTTGTGCCTTTAAAGGGAGCTCCCAGATCGAGCTCTGGTTCAGTTCCCTTAGGTCTGCTGACAAATCACACAGTGGCTGGCAGGGGGGAGTTTGGAGAGCAGCAAAACAAACAGGCTTTCTGCTTTTGCGGAGCATGAGTTTTCTGAGAACATGGAGTGGGGGACCACCTTGAACTTTGTGCTTTTCTTCATAGATGGACTTGGTGGCATTGGCATGGGGCTGGGACCAGGAGGACAACCTATCGATGCCAATCACCTGAACAAAGGCATTGGAATGGGAAACCTGGGGCCCGCAGGTGAGACATCTGTTTGCCTTCATGGGGGACTGCGGGGGTGTTAGTTATTAAAGTTAATTATTGGGGTAATAAAAGTGGTTTTTAATTAAGTTATTTGTGACCAAAATCCCTCCTTACTCACCTCTGTTCATTTGCCTAAGGGCAGTATTTGTATTTTGAGGAGTAGAATCTTGGGGGATGGGTGGGGGGCGGGGAAGGTCATGCCCTTGCGTTTTATCCTGGCACGACCTGGAAAAGGAGACAAGCCAGACAGAGAGTTGGTCTTGCTCAAGGTCACATTGTCGGTTAGTGTCGGTGCTGACCGGGACCGCCGACAGCACTGCAGCTGTCGACCATCCAGAGCCCCTTGGGTGCTCCGGAAGGTGACAGGAAAGGCGGGGAGGCCTGGGGCCTGGTCGCGGAGCTGTGGCCCTGGGCCAGGTGGAGGGGAGGGACGTGTCTTCTCTGTTTCAGAAGACAAAAGAGTGACCACAGTGACTGATGTGAAGTGACGGTGCTCCCTAGGGTTTCCATTTCTGTGCAGTGAGGTATTTCTCTACAGCTGAGAAGTACTTGAGGTTCATGACGTCAAGATTTGGGTCCTGATTACTTGGCTCACGACGCGGTGCCCCTCTTTGTCACTGTTGCCGTGTTTCCCTGCTCCTTCCCGGTCGCTCTCCTCAGCGTCCTGGATCCCCCAGCTCGGATGGCTCTGCCGGTCTGATCCCCCACTCACTCCTTCCCTCCTGTTGAACACCTAAGCTGGAAGGGCTGGGACTAGAAGCGAGTTTCGTGTGTTTAGGAACGGCTTTTGTTGGTAGGGGTCTGGGGAGTGGGAAGCTCCCGGCGGTTCCCAGTGCGAGGGCCCTTGGATGTGGTGGTGCGTTTGGGCCTGGCCAGTGCTGGGGATCGCCTTTGCCGGGCCTCCCCCCGTGTAGGTGGTGCCAGTTACTATCTCTGGCCACCCCCTCACCTCCCCGGAACTGCCTTTTCCTTATTTTTTAAAGAAAATTTTACTCTTTGGGGGGATTTCATTCTGCTGCCTAATACCAGCTTCTAAAAGTGAAAATTATCTACTCTGTCTCGGAAATTATGTTTAATGTTTCAAACCATCTGACTTGACTGTTCTGTGGAAATAGTGTGGCCCTACAGAATTGTGAGCTGTGCAGTGGTTCTTTTGTTTAAGACTTGGCTTGGGTTTTCTTGGAGCCAGATCTTTCCGGATCGCAGAAGAGAGGTCCCCCACCCTATCCATCCCCACCCCAACACCCGCTCCCATGCGCTTTTGGTTTACTGAGATTTAAAATGACATTTGTAAAATACTTGTAATCAGAATGGTTTTCGGTGTGTGGAATTTCTTGTGCTGTGTAAGTTTGAACGTTATTGCTTTGATATAATTTTAGTTTGCATTGACTTTTTCTTTTTAAGGAATGGGAATGGAAGGCATAGGATTTGGAATAAATAAAATGGGAGGTAAGAATCTTGAAATAAAAATGTGATTACTTTTAGGTATGATTTTATTCCCCCCAGCCCCCCGTTTCCTCTTTTCTTTCGCTAAAACTTGCATGAAATTCTTATTCTGGCTACCTGAAAGTTTGAGTCTCGAAATTACCTGTCAGTCCTTTCAGGGGGTGTCTTGGCTTAATGGTTCTAGTTTTCCTAACGAGCTCTGTGACCTTGGGCAAATGCCTCCATCTCTTTGGGCCTCGCTCGGCTTGTTGGTCGTGGGGAGGGGGCGGGCCAGCTCAGTTCTCTGGTGGACGGTGATGTTTAAACCCAGGCACTAGCATTCCCCGGCCTCTAACCCTTAACTTTGGTAAGTAAGTGCCTGGATAAAAACGGCCCAGCTGAAAGTCGTGAATCCCCTTGTCTTTCCCCGAGCGGCCGTGCTGGGGCGTTGCTGATGTGTGGGTGTTTCTTTTGCAGGCATGGAGGGCCCCTTTGGCGGTGGCATGGAGAACATGGGGCGATTTGGCTCTGGAATGAACATGGGCAGAATCAACGGTAAGACTCGGGTTTTCCTCCGGCTCACACTGTTGCTGGCTGTTGGCGGCCGTGTCCTGGAGGCAGCACGTCCAGCTTGAATCCGTCACTTCCGTTGACACCCTGTTCTACCCAGTCAGATGTGTCCACGTTGCTGTGAATGTTGGTCAGCCTGTCGGTTGTGGTTTAGACCTTTGAAGGGGAGGCGGTTGAGCGGCCCTTTTGGTTCTCAGTAATTGTTCGTTTCACTGCCTCCAGCTGGGAAGTCGTGCCGGCATCCTGAGTCATGCAGACTTGAAAATGGTCTCCTCGGGCTGGGCCCTTAAGCGGTAGGGCACATGCCTAGAGTGTGGGATCCCTGCCATCCCCTGCCTCCACCGGCACTGCTGGGTATGGCCCGCGGAAGGGGCCAAAGGATCTTCAGGTGTTCAAAGGATCCGAGTGGTTTTGGAGCTTGGGGTGAAGCTCCTGTTTCCTGCTGCGGTGCTGGACGGGCTGAATGGTTTTGATCCTCTTGGTGATGCGGAGTTTGAGCGGACATGTGAATCTCGCGTTTCAACGATGCGATTTTTGGCGAGGACATTCGGTTGTCCTGGCTTTGCTAAATGTGATGGCTGCAGTTTCATTTAGTCGTTGCAAGACCCACAAAATGCGTAGACACCGTTGTCCCCGTTTCAGGGGAAACAGGCCCAGAGAGCGAGGTCACGTGGCTAGTGTTGCTGGCTGGGTGCTGGCCCTGTCTGTCTTAACCCTGGCACCCCTCAGCCCCATCTCCAGTTTGCGGGCAGGGCTGTGGGGGTGTGCTCCCTGCCTTTCGGGTCACTTTCAGTGTGGGGCAGCCTGTGGGCTGGATTCAGAGACCCTCTGGGTCTGGCCCTCCGTCCTCTTCCCGCCGTGCCACGCCCCACATCCAGCGGTGGGGAAGCTCATCCGTTACATGTGACTTTCCTCGGGTGCAAAGTCAGCGAGCACCCCTGAAGGGAGGAGTTATGCGAGTCATCAGCCTTTGTCCCAGCACAGGAAGTAGAGACAGTTGTCCCCTGCCTTCCTGGTGGGGTGCCAGTGGTGGGCGGTGAGAGCGGGGCTCAGGGTGCTCAGCCGTTAGTAACGAAGGGGCAGAGGCCTGCTGATGGCAGCGAGTTGCGCCCGGTGCGAGAGCTGGGCCAGTTCCACCCGGAGCAGAGATTTCAGGAGAAAGGAAATTTGGGGTGTTGCTCTTGAGTAGTGGAGTGATGGGCTGTGGTGGTTGATGGGAGCTGGGGAACGGCACTGAGCATATGCTCAGTGTCTTTGGCGAGCAGGAAGCAGACAGGGGCTGTAGCAGCAGGACTTGGAACTCAGCCTGGTCATCGGTGGAAGGCTCAGAGTGCTGGGTCCATGCGGACAGCGCAGGAGCACGCACGTTCTGAGGTGTGGGGGTGCGGCCCTCCAGGGCAGGCAGAGACCTGTGTTCTGGGGGGAGGAGGGCCCGGGCGTGGCTCAGGTGGGTGAGCTTACCTTGCACGTGCAGCGCCCTGAGTCGGATCCCTGGCACTGGCCCTAAATGTCCGAAGATGCCTTCGATTCTGTTGATGGCCACAGGAGTCGATGTGTCAGGGTGTGTAGGTCACACTCAAAGGCATCTCGAGACTCTGGACGAGTCTGTTAGCCGGTAGGTCCAGATGACAGTATCTGCGCGCCTGGCGTGGAACCAGGGCTTCATACGTGCCAGGTACGCATTGATGCTTTTCCCCGCGTGTTAACTGCTGCGTGTGGCTTTTCTGAAGGGCGCATGTGCCCTTCTTCGCTGGCACAGGGGAGGGTTTAAAGAGGCCACATGAGCTTTGTCTGTCATGGTGCTGTCAGGAAATTGTCCTGTTCAGCACACACAGGCTCTTGGGAATTGGGGATCTTTTCAGTAGATAGGACATCCCCATCCTTTGTAGTTCACCAGGGTCATTTTAAGTTCAACGTTTGCTTTTTGTTTTGTTTTGGGCCACATCCAGCGATGCTCAGGGCTGAGTCCTGACTCTGCACTCAGGAATTAGTCCTGGCAGTGTTCAAGAGATGCTGTAGGTGTCTGGGGATCGGAACTGGGTCAGCTTGTGTGCAAGGCCAGTGCCCTCCCTGCTGTGCTATCCCTCCGGTCCCAGGCTTGCATTTCTTTCTTCACGATCTGGACCTGCTTCCAGGCACACTGTCATGCCAGTGAAAATGGAGGCGCTTGAGCTACATGCAAAATAGTATGTTTTGCTTTTAATTTGTGTGCGGTGGGGTGGACGATATCTGTTAGGTAATACTTATTTCTTGATAAAATTTGGTTTTGGGGCCACACCCAGCGATGCTCGGGGGTTACTCCTGGCTCTGCACTCAAGAATTAGGCCTGGTGGCACTTTTGGGAATCCTTTCGGATGCTGGGAATTGAACCCAGTCAATCCTGCAAGGCAGATGCCTTCCCCGCTGTACTATCGCTCCGGCCCAGGAAACAGGTTTTTTCTTGTTGCTGTGCCAGGGTTCAAATGTAGGACCTGATGCCTGTGAGACAGGTGTTTTAGTACTGAGTCGTCTCCCTGACCAGTGCCTGGGCTCGGTGACTTTCCATGGGGCTCGGGACCCCGTTTGGTGACAGGGATCAAACCCCAATTATCCTATCCGATCTCTCCAGCCCTAAAGTAAGTGTTTTTCTTTTTTGCAAGGGGTGGTGGGCACACCTGGGAGTGCTCAGGGATCATACGTGGTGCCAGAAATTGAACCTGGGTCATCTGCAAGGCAGGTGCTGCCACGCTGTCCTGTCTCTGGCGCACACAGTGGGGCCTGGGGTCTGGAGCCTTGGAGCTTTCTCAGGTGGTGACCGGCTTTCTGCCACCTGCACCCTGTGTCCAGGTCCAGGCCAGACACCGGGACTCAGCCTCGTTCATTCGAGACAAGCTGGGAAGTCTGTCGGTGCTTCCACGGCCCGTGGTGCGCCCCTGTCGGCGAAGGGCCCCCAGTTCTGGGGTCCTTGCACTGCTGATCACCTACCTCCCCACTTCCTGGGGCTGTGGCCCTGGTCAGGCCGCATGGTGCGGGGCTGTTGCTGTGAGCTGGTGGCGCGGAGGCCATGGGGTCCCCGCGAGCCTGGGCTGGCCACTCTGTGGCTCTAACGGAAGTTCGTGCAGTTCTTACTGACGCAAGGTAGGTGGTCCGAGGGCTTCGTCTCGGTGCCTGGAAGAAATCCAGGGTGGATGCTGGTTTTCCGGAGAGGAGCCGAACGTGCCAACTTGGTGGCGGCTGGTGTGTGCCCGGAGATCGGGGGCCTTCTGCCCGAGCCCTGTCTCCCTTCCGTGAAAGGCCTAGGGTAATGTTTTTTTCCACAGAGATGGAGCGTGGCATGGGTGGAGGATTTGAGAGAAACTTTGCCAGACCCGAGATGGGAATGTCTCGAAGCTTTGGAGAGCCCCTTGGCAGAGGAGTGGGTAAGACGGGCCGCGGGCCCCTGGGCAGGCTCCACCCCGCGAGTGCGCCTGGCGGCGTCTCTCTGCAGGATGGGCCGCTTTCCTTCGGCTTTCGCCGTGCCTGCGCTGGGCCTGGGACGAGCCGCTGGTCTTGGCGTGTTCGGCCAGCGACGTTTCTCACCGGCCTTTGCCGAAGCTCCTTTCCCACCCTGCTCTCAGGCCTTTGCTTGCTGCGGCGTTTTCTCTGGCGCTGACGGGGCGTGCCAGAGTTGGCCTGGCCGCGCGGTGGTGTTGAGTCAGGAAGGACGGTGGCGGGTGTCTGCAGGGGGCGCCGTCTGACCGGAGAAGACCAGGGGCACGTGGAGCCTTGGTTCTGTTTTCATGCCTGCAAGATCCTTCCCCTTTGGGGAGGGGGGTTAGGTTGCAAAGCCGCCCCTAGACTCTTCCAGGGCCGTCCTCTCCTGCTGGCAGTGTGTCTCAGCTTGACGTCTTCATGAGTGCAGTGCCGAGAGAACTTCAATTCTTGGGCTCTGGGGACGCACCTTCTCAGCCTGCCTGCTGCTCTGAGCTCTGTTCGGGACTGTCGTGGGCCCGGAGAGGCTTGTCTGCCTTCTGCTGAACCTTGATTCGGAGGGACGAACCCAGGGCTCACACGCCAAGCAGCCCCGTGCCCAGAGCCGTGTCCAGCCCCAGGTGTTCAGTGTCTCGTGTGTGACCTGGAAGCTGTTCTGTCCCGCTGCGAGCCTGAGTGTGTCATAAGAATTTGTGCTGCTCTCTTTCTCTGACTTGGGTAGGTGACTTGAACGGGTTGTCTGGTGTCAGAGGTGCCTGCTCACGAAGACCAGAACTGACGCTCAGCAGTCAAGTTCTTGGCTGCAGAGAAGCCTTCCTATTTTGTCCATGTCCCGTGTGTCGTGTCCCCCCCCCCCCCCCCCCGGTTTTAGGAAGGCTTTAGGATTTGGGGGTGGGGTGGGGTGAAGTCATCTCTGTGTGATAGGGCAGGAAAAAGCCCGTTGCTGTGAGTAGCTTTTGTGTTTGAATCTTGACATGAATGGGGGATTTTTTTTTTTAAATCTCTCAAGATTCGTTATTGTTCATTGACCGATAGGACAGCAGGGAGAGCGTTTGCCTCATACGCAGCCGACGCGGATCTGAGTCCCAGAGGGATCCCCAAACACAGCCAGAAGTCTTGAGCACCACCGCTGGGTGTGGCCCCCAAACACGAAGATTCATTTGCCTAAAACCTGACCTGAGGGTCCCCCCAAGTTGAGACAAGAGTGACGCGACTTTGCTCTCCTTTCTGACGGGGCTGGTGGCCTCACCCTGGCGCCCTTGGAGCTGGTCACTTCGTGTGGCCCGGTTGTGTTGGCTGCTGCCGAGGCCTTCTGAGGTGATCACAGGCCAGAGTGCGGCCCAGTTCTGGAGTCAGACCCACAGCGTCCCCCTGTGCAGTGGGTCCTTAGGCTTTCCGAGTAGTGTTGGTTGGATTCTGTGCTGGTATCGAGCTCAGTGGGTGCTGCTGTCTTCCTCTCTCTCCTCGGTGTTGGAGCGTGGCAGTAGGTCTGTGCTGCAGGGACCTTGATAGACCCAGGGCCTTAAGGGACTGGTCTGCGGAAGGCCGAGGAGCTGCTGGTTCCCTGGGCGACTTTTCTCTGAGATTGGGGGCTGCCATGTGCTCGAGGCCAGTGGGCTTGGCGCGTTTGCCTGAGAGGACTCGGGGCAGCGGAGGAGGCGGGTGTGCTGGCGGGTGAAGAGGCTCGGAGGAAGCCGGAGCTGGCACACCTGCGGCTGCCCAGGCCACAGTTTGGCTTTCCTCACCTGGCCGCGATCGCACCAAGGGCCAGGGCCTCGGCAGGGCTCGCTGTGAGTGCTGCACTGGAAGGTGGGCGCCAGGCAGTGTTCTTGGTGCCAGTGTCAAGTTGTGTTTCAGTGACCATTCCCACTGTGTGCCAGTTTTCGCTCCTTTGTGGGGTGTGCTGCCAGGGGCCTACTAGGCTACGGGGGAGGCGCTCTGCGTAGGTTTCTTCTGACAGTGGACACTGACAGGCTTGGCTTCAGGGTAGCCAGCAGGTAGCTGTGTTTTGGAGTGCTTGGGACTTCTGTTTTCCTGACTTCCTGCCGCTCATGTCACTGTCAGCAGGGGGTGGGGGTGCGGCATCCCGTGGCTTGTGGCTCGTCTGCGTCTGCAGCCCTGTGGGTGAGGGCAGGCGACAGACTGTCTGGGTCCCTGTAGCGAATGGCTGCTGGCTTCGTTCATTCTGCTGTGATCTTTCAGTCTCACTTTCAGGGCTGCTATGACCAGTGGGCCCGGTCCCAGGTGACCCCTGCAAATTGGGGCTCAGATTCTGGAACTACCTGGGGTCCCTGCGGCCCCCCTCTCGGCCAAGGACCCTTCACTGTGACTCAATGTGCTCGTCTGTGTCTCTCCCGCCCCCTCCCCTTTCACCTCTTCTCACTTCAAAGTCTGCAACGAACACGTTTCTACTGCCTGGAGAAATTTGGCTAATTTTTTTTTTTCTTCTTCCCGATTTCCGTAGAAATCCTAAGTAATGCACTGAAGAGAGGAGAGATCATTGCAAAGCAGGGAGGAGGTAGGAGACCCAAGTTCTGATGTTTTCATCTTGAAGAGCTGGTATTACTGGGGACACCAGAATGAGGGACGCACAGCATGGGTGGGCCTAGGGCTGCCTCCGGGCTGAAGTTCTTTCTTGTCCTGAAAACGGGCCGTATAAACGAGTTCATGACTATAAAGGCGCCCACTCCCAGGGTGTGCTGCGTAAGTTGTAGCCGTTGTAATTCTTTATAACGGCCGCATCATTTAAGGGGGGGGGGCGGTTCTTAACTATTTTTAGTACTTCAACGTGGATTGTTCGTAAAGGTAAATCATTTTACCTGGTAGTGAAACTGAAGGCCTGTCGCCTAATAACATGCCTTTCTCGAAAATGCATACGTGCTCTCCTGAAATTTTAAGAAACAACCCCCACTTTCTCTGCCTCGGGGTAAACACGCTCTCGCTGTGTTCTGGTGTGAAGTCTTCCGTTGATGTTTCTTTTCAATCCGGGCATTGAAAGCAGTGGCTTTGCTTTCACGGAATTTATCTAGGGTCATGCTGGTTCTCCCTCCCAGCTGAGCGTCTTGGCATTTCCTTGGCATCTCCACGTGCCGGTCATTTCCGCAGCGCGGCGGGGGGCGGGTCGCGGAGCCCTACGTGGGCGGCACTCCTGCTTGCTCCTTGGTGCCGCTGGCCGCTGGCGGTCAGCCTCACTGCTGGCCTAGGGCTGCTGACTGCCTAGCATTTCTCAACCTCTTGTCACGGTTTCTGAGAAGCTTCAGCTCTTAAAAGTCTGATTATTGTTCGCATTTTGCTGCTTGTGCGTGCCACTCGAGCCGCAGAACCGCACCCAGACGAAGCGCTTCGTCCAAGCTCTGGCATTGCTCGAGAACCAGCTCTTGGGGTCATTGTGTTGCCTTTTGTCTGTGCCTCTTGGGCTGGGCCGCCTGGAGCAGTAACGGGCCGCTGCTGGGGCCATGGGTTCGCAGCCGGCCCCTCCCCGCGCCCTCCCGGAGGCTCTGGGTCAGTGCGCGTGCTCCCGCCCCCTCCCCGGGACTGGCCGTCCTGCTTCTCTGTGCTCTGGAGGTGCTAAGGAAATGCAGGGCGGTCCCGGGGCCGGGCTTCCCTTGGCTGCGTGTCTGCTTTTGGACTAGAAGACGCCTGTCGGTCCCAGAGCTGCTCCCAAGTGGGGGGAGCACCGGCGGCGGAGGCGCGTCCGGGTGGGGGGAGTCTTGCCCCTTGGGAGACTCCGTGGGGATCTCCGCGGCGGCGCTGCAGGGGGAGGAGGGGCGCACGGCGAGGGCCAGCCTCTCGGGGCTGCTGGCTGGCGACGGCGGCGCGCGAGCGCGTCCCTGAGCGCGGCCTGTCTTGTGTGTCCCCGTTGCAGGTGGCGGCGGAGGCAGCGTGCCCGGGATCGAGCGGATGGGCCCCGGCATCGACCGCCTCGGGGGCGCCGGCATGGAGCGCATGGGCGCGGGCCTGGGCCACGGCATGGAGCGCGTGGGCTCGGAGATGGAGCGCATGGGCCTGGTCATGGACCGCATGGGCTCGGTGGAGCGCATGGGCGCCGGCATCGAGCGCATGGGCCCCCTGGGGCTCGACCACATGGCCTCCAGCATCGAGCGCATGGGCCAGACCATGGAGCGCATCGGCTCGGGCGTGGAGCGCATGGGGGCCGGCATGGGCTTCGGCCTGGAGCGCATGGCCGCGCCCCTCGACCGCGTGGGCCAGACCATCGAGCGGATGGGCTCGGGCGTGGAGCGCATGGGCCCGGCCATCGAGCGCATGGGCCTGAGCATGGAGCGCATGGTGCCCGCGGGCATGGGGGCCGGCCTGGAGCGCATGGGCCCCGTGATGGAGCGCATGGCCACCGGCCTGGAGCGCATGGGCGCCAACAACCTGGAGCGCATGGGCCTGGAGCGCATGGGCGCCAACAGCCTGGAGCGCATGGGCCTGGAGCGCATGGGCGCCAACAGCCTGGAGCGCATGGGCCCCGCCATGGGCCCGGCCCTGGGCGCCGGCATCGAGCGCATGGGCCTCGCCATGGGCGGCGGCGGCGGCGGCGCCGGCTTTGACCGCGCCATCGAGATGGAGCGCGGCAATTTCGGAGGCAGCTTCGCGGGCTCTTTCGGTGGCGCTGGAGGCCACGCGCCGGGGGTGGCCAGGAAGGCCTGCCAGATCTTTGTGAGAAACGTGAGTGACCTCGGGAACGTCGCAGGCTGCAGCGGGGAGCGGTGGGCTCGGGAAGCCTGAGGATGGGAGGGGCCGCGGGCAGGGCTGCCCCCTCGATGGGGAACGGAGTAGCGGGTCGAGGCTCAGGGCTCCCGTGGAAGAGGGAGCGGTGGGTTCTGTGGAAACCGGGACCCCATGGGGCGCTGAGAGAGGCAGCTGGAGGGACCTCGTTTCTTTGGGTAGAAGAAGGAACCCCGAAAGCTTGGGTGGGAGGAGTCCGTTCAGAATGACTGCTCCTGCTTCTGGCTCACACTGTCCCCTGTGCCACTCCCCAGGGACACCCGGCAGTGCTCAGGGTCACTCCTGGCTCTGCGCTCAGGCACACTCCGGCTGGGGCTCAGGGGACCCTTCGGGCTGCCGGGGATCGAACACTGATCCGGCCCCGTGCACGGCCAGTGCCCTCCCCGCTGTCCTGTTGCTGGGACCCTGTGGTGAGCTGGTTCAGAGGCTCATTTCCCCCCCACCTGCTGGGAAGGCAGCTGGTGACCGATGGTGCCCCCCACACCGTGCCCTCTGCCAGTCATGGTGCTCGCGCTTAGGGGTCGATCCGATCGCCTCATTGTCTTTCTTTTCTCTTCCCCCTCAGCTCCCGTTTGATTTTACATGGAAGATGCTAAAAGACAAATTCAATGAATGTGGTAAGTGTTGGGGAGGCTGTCAGTGCGCTTCCGGGACCTTGGGGGGGGGGGGGGCAGCTCGGCTGGCACGAAGCTTCCTCCTAGTCTCTGGGCCTGAGGGGACTTGCCGTCTTCCTGCCTTGCTGAAAGATCCTCGCGGTTATGTCAGGGGCGTGCCCCCGTGTTCCCGTTTCCAGCTTTTGGAAAGGGGCGGGTGGGGTGTCCCCACTTTGCAGATGAGGCCGGTGGAGAAGCCGGTGCCCAGGCTCGCGTGGTCTCTGAGCGCTGGAGCGTGGCATAGCACATGCCGCAGGCCCCGGAAGGCTGTTTTGCTGGGCTGCAGGGAAGGCACTCACCTTGCTCGTGAGCCGGCCCGAGTTAGATCCCCGGCACCACATTTGGTCCCCTGGGCTCAGCCACTGACCCCTAAGCACTGAGCCAGGAGGAAGTACGGTAGCTGATGGCCAGGCAGGTGTGGGTCACCTGGGCTGTCACAGCGTTTCAGAGCCCAAGCAGCACGTGAGGTGACGTGGTTCTCTTTCCTCCGTGCCCTCCAAGAGCCAGGCTCTGGGCACTGGGCAGGGTGAGGACAGTGCCCCCACTGGGAAGCTCACTCTGGGCCCCTCCAGGTGGGCTGCTCGTGCCTCTGCTCAGGAGACCGCGTGCCCGGCTGGGCCTTAGCCCGGGTGCTCACTCGGCCCCCAAACAACGACCCATTGAGTCTCCTGTCCCTGCCCCTGGTCCACTCTCCTGTTGCTGGTTTGTCCTGGCTGGGGGCCTGGCTGGGTCGGCTCCTCCAGGCCCTCCGTTTCCGGTCTTCCTGGCTCCTCAGCTGTCCCCGCGCCTGGCTCTGCTGGTCCCTCTCTTGGCCTGCGCCGTTGAGTCACGGCCACAGCCCGCCTTCCTGCCCTGGTCGTGCCCCTTCCCCCTCCCCTCCGTTTCCACACTCGCTCACTCTTCAGAAAGTGAAATGGGACCCCGCCCCCCACCCCCAGGAGGGGCCCAAAGGTGCCCCTCTGCGTGCAAGAGGAAGTCCGAAGCCGCAGGCCTTCTCGTGACTCGCTGGCTCCTTCCTCCTGCGGCTCCTTTTCGTCCCTGATCCCCGAGTTGCAAGTGCTGATTCCAGAAGTGCTCTGAGCCCTCCTGAGGCGCTTCGACAGCTGTCCCATGATGGCGCTGTCGCCCTGGCCATTCCTGGCGGCCGTCTGCCCCTGCACACCCAGTCCGCAGTGCTTGACGTGTCCCCGGACGCTCAGCTTACTCGAACACGAGTCACCTGCTTGCTTCCTTCCCAGCCTCAGCGTGGGCGCGGCAGGGCCCCTGTGTGGACGGTGGCTCGGAAGGTGGCATTTGCCCAACCAGTGGCCCCTTCCCGAGGGGAAAGGCGGCAAGTTGGTGTCCCCTGGGGCGGCTCATCGCCGGGCACCAGCGAGCCGGGCCTGCAGCTGGCAGCGAGGGGGCAAGGGGCTGTGTCGCGGGGCTCCCCGCGTCAGGGCCTTTCCCCTTGGACTCTGCACCGTGATCCGCATGTCGATCGCGCCTGGCGGCCGGGCTGTGGCTTTGCCTGACGAGCTGGTCTCTCCTTCCTCCCGTGCCCAGGCCATGTGCTCTACGCCGACATCAAGATGGAGAATGGGAAGTCGAAGGGGTGCGGTGTGGTGAAGTTTGAGTCGCCCGAGGTGGCCGAGCGGGCCTGCCGGATGATGAATGGAATGAAGCTGAGTGGCCGGGAGATCGATGTTCGGATCGATCGAAACGCTTAAGCGGTTGCCTTTTTTAAACATCGAGACCAGACCTCTGAATTTGTATTTTTTCTTGTTAACCATTTTAATTTGTTGGCTGGATGTATAAAGATGTTTAAAAAATTCAGTTGCTTTTTTGGGGTAATTTGAATTACTTTTTTAATGACCGGGGTTCCATTTGACTGTTTGCATTGAGATTGCAATGTGCGCAATTTTTTTTGTAGTTGTGGCATCTTGTTGACATCGAATATGACTTTGATAATAAATACCAGTTCCTGAAAGCTGCTTTGCTTTTGCGTGTGTGTGCTGGGGTGTGATCGGGAGGGTGGGGGGGAGCGGGCGAAGGGGCCAGGGGAGCAGCTCGGTCTCCTTTCTGGGAAGGGTGTCCTTGCCCTCGGCCACAGGCGCCTCTCATGGTGAGGGGTTCAGTGGGGTCCTCACACCCCTGCTCCCTGGTTCAGCTGCCATGCCAAACCCCACGTGCCAGGCGTTTCTAGACCCCGGGGCCTAGGTGGCACCTTCCCCGTGGCAGAGGTGACAGCTCTCCGAGGCCCTGCTGCCTCAGGCCATTACGGGGCGCCCTGTTCCACAGAAGGACCTAGGGGCCAAGGGTGGAGCTGGCGTCTCTGCTGTGCGGACCTTCATCAAGGGGGTGTTTCTCCACATTTCTTAGACTTTGAAAACGAAACCTGGTGGCCCCACCTGCCCCTTTTAATGGCCGGGATGGGTCAGTCGGGCTGGAGACCACTGCCCCTGCTTGTCCCCTCTGATTTTTTTCGAGTTGCTTCGTGGGGGCTCTGTCCATGGGAAGGACCCCTTGTGAGTGCCCCTGGGTCTGACCATGGCTCCGCTGTGTGTGCCGATGGGGAGTGAAGGAAGCTGAGACACGGGGGCTGTTTTGATTTATTTCCACAGAGCGCTTGGCAGTGCCCCGGGCTCCCATTGGTGCCAGGCGTGTGCACCCGCCCTCTGAGCCCTCTCCCTGGCCCCCGGAGTTGTTGTCAAGAGAAGCCTTTTGGGGGTGGGTTGTGTTGGTGGCCAGACCTGGGGGCTTCTGCGACGTCATGGACCCTGGGCGACTGCGCGGGTGGCTTATCGTCCCCGTGGTATGGGTTGGTTCTCCATCGGATCTGCCACAGAAGTGGGGAGGGGGGCGGTTTGTGGACCCCTCGTAGCAGCAAGTGAACTTCTGGGGTAGCGTTGGGGATGGAGAAGGGGTCCTCCTGCCTCCCTCGAAACAGTGGTCCCCACCAGCCCACCCAGAGCCTCCACGTACCCCAGAAGCCAACGTCGTCGTAGACCTCCGTCTCTCTGCAGGGAGCACAGTCGGGTGAGTGAGCGCCAGCTTGTGGGGGACAAGATGTGCCCCCCCACCCCAGAACCCCCTTCCCGCAGCCCCTCCCAGCCTCACTCACAGGGGCAGGAGTGCAGTCCTGGGCACGTAGCCATCTGCAAGACAAGACACGGCAGGCTTGGGTGGGTGTGTTTGCCGCGGGGGTCGGGGGGCCGGCTCCCCACCAGGGCCGGGCCAGGGTGCACTTACACTTGCCCTTGGCGTCCCGACAAAGCATCTCGTCCTTGCTGGTGAATTCGATCACCTCCAGGATCTCCCCGCGCCGGATTCCTAGGTGCTTGCCGCCCCCTCGCCGCGTCTTGGCGTTGGGGTCGATCATCATCCTCGTTTGGATCACGATCTCCCCCTCAAACTGTGGAGTGCAGGGGTGGGAGGGTGAGCGAAAATAGCACCTTTTTTTTTTTTTTTTTTTGCTTTTTGAGACACCCAGCGATGCACAGGGGTTACTCCTGGCTTCTGGCGGTGCTCGGGGGACCCTATGGGATGCTGGGAATCGAACCCGGGTCGGCCGCGTGCAAGGCAAACGCCCTCCCCGCTGTGCTATCGCTCCAGCCCCTTGTTTTTGCTTTGGGGTCACACCCTGCGATGCACAGGGGTTCCTCCTGGCTCTGTGCTCAGGAATCACCCCTGGTGGTGCTCAGGGGACCCTATGGGATGCTGGGAATCGAACCCGGGTCGGCCGCGTGCAAGGCAAACGCCCTACCTGCTGCGCTATCGCTCCAGCCCGAAAATAGCCCTTTTTTAAGTTTTTTGGGGGGCTACACCCAGTGTTATCTGGTTACTCCCAGTTTGTGCTCAGGAATGAACCCTGGTCCCCTCCGGGCACCCGGCGAGGGCCCCCAGTCTGGCCCTCCCCTCCAGACCCCACCCGACCCCCACTTAGCTCAATCTCCACCTTGAACTTCTTCCGGAACTCGCGCTCTGCCTTCTCCGCCTTCCTCATCTGCTTCAGGGACTTCTGGTCTGCCGGGGGCAGTGGCGGAGGCTGCACCTTCTCCTTCCTGACATACCCAACCCAGAAGTTGGGGGGCACGTGAGCCAGGGGCTTCTCTCCTGTTCCTCCACCTTATCCCACCCCACCCGCTGTGGTACCTGAGCTCTGGTTCCGGCGGTGGCCTCCTGGGCAGTTGCTCCGTGAATGACGTTTTCTCTGGGGACAGTTGGAAACACCAAGTTAGGACTCGCTCCCTTAGCCTGTGGGCCGGACCTCGCGTGGTGCTTTTTTTTTTGTTTTTTCTTTTTTTTTTGGGTCACACCCAGCGATGCTCAGGGGTTACTCCTGGCTCTGCACTCAGGAATGACTCCTGGAGGTGCCCGGGGGACCATATGTGATGCTGGGAATCGAACCTGGGTTGGCCACGTGCAAGGCAAACGCCCTACCCGCTGTGCTATCGCTCTGGCCCTCAGACCCAGTTTTGAGATGAAGCTTCAAGGCCAGAAAGGCAAAGCCAGCGCTGGGCCAGGGTGGTGCGGGCTGGGCCTGGTACACCCGAGTGGCCAACCCCAGTGTTGGGCATATTTGGGCAGGGCACTCTGATGCGGGAGGTTGAGAGTGGGTGGGCCACTGGGGAGGTGAGGGGAAGCCCAGGGTTGCAAAGGGCCGAGCAGTGGGTTGGGTTCCGGCGGGCAGTGTGAACCATATCCACCAGTGTTCCTTGCTGACTCCTGACTGCTTAGGGGTCACTCCTGGCAGGGATCAGGGGACCCCACTCAAGTCTGGGTCAGCAGCCTTTTTTTTTTTTAAGTTTATTTTTTATTTAATTTTTTTTTTCTGGGTCACACCTGGGCATTGCACGGGGTTACTCCTGGCGGTGCTCAGGGGACCATATGGGATGCTGGGAATCGAACCCGGGTTGGCTGCATGTAAGGCAAACGCCCTACCCGCTGTGCTATCGCTCCAGCCCTAGCTTTTTTTTTTTTTAATGGGCGAACCTGTGAACACCCAAGACAGGGATTGTGGGAAATGATGAAGTGATTAGAACCCCGAAGAAGGACAAGCCCGGAATGAGGGTGTGGGGAGCCCCTGACACCCCAGACAGGGATCAGGAGGGACTTGGAGGGTCCTGCCAGGAAGCCTGGAATCACCTATTGCTTGCTCCTGGGAAAAGCATCTGATAGGTTGGGGGGGGGGGGCACTGAGGTACGTTCCCCACCCTCAGTCCCCTATGGAAGGTTCTAGATAAAGTCGGGAAGTGGGCCTAGCACCCAGACGCAGTCTCCTGACAGGCCCTGTGCTGGGGTGGCCTTGAGCTGGGGGGGTGGGTGCTTCCCCCAAGCCTCTTGAGTTTCCCTGGTGGGGAGCAGACTTGAAGGGTGTGAGACCAGGCCCGAGTCCTTGGATGAGCCCGGGTCGCCTCCAGCCTGTCCCCAACTCAGATGTCTCCAACCCGGCAGCCCGTTACATGCTTCCATCTTTGACCCTGTGTCCCTCTCAGTAACCTGCCCACCAGGACCCTTCTAAATGTACCCCTTTGGGGCCGGAGAGAGTCCAGCAGAGAGGGCGCTTGCCCTGCACGGGGCTGACGGGTTCGATCCCCAGCATCCCATAGGGTCCCCCAAGCACCGCCAGGACTGACCCCTGAGTCCTGTAACGTGTGTCTCCCAAATTAAATACATGTATTCCTCTTACTTGGCCCACTCCATGGGCCCGTGATGCCCCAGGGAGAAGCCCCGGGTGCCCCTTTTGGCTGGAGCTGTCCCCAAATGCCCCCCTCCCCCCTCCTCACCTGCAGCCTTGGGCCTGGGGCTGGGGTCCTCCTGGGGCTCCACGTCATCGTATAGCTCGTAGATGTCATCCGTGTCCCTAGAGGCACAGCACCTCAGGGGGGGTGGTGGTGAAGGGCCCTCTCAGCCCCCCACCTGCCCCTTCCTGCCTGCCAGCGCCCCTCCCGGACCCCCGCACTCACGGACGGGGCTGTCTAGGCGGCCGGGCCTGGCAGAGGGTCCCAGCGGCCGAGCGAGTCCTCCGCACAGCTGTGGAGACACAGGAGCTGGGGGGAGTCGGGCGCGGCCCGGGCCCTCTGGGGGTGTCCCCTTCCTTGTGGCCCCAGGTACCCGCACCCACCTGAGGCGGCCCCCATGAGGCTCCGGTAACTCTGGATGTTCCTGGGGCCCGGGGGCAGCGGGGGTTTGACAGGTGGGGGCCCCAGGCTGCTAATGGACGGCAGAGGCCTCCGCCGGGGTGGGGCGCTGCCCGGGAGGCACAGCTGTGAGCCCCTGGCCGCGAGAGCCCCCGGTCTCAGCCGACCTGCACCGAGGCCCAGTGGGAATTGGGGGCCTGAGCCCCCCGTGACTGAGGGCAGCGAGCTCTCAGACACGGAAGTAGGGAGCCGGGGCTTTCTGGGGTACTCGGCGGGGGGATGCTTCTGCGGCCTAGCCTGGGGCTGAAGTTGTGGCGGCTTTCCCCGGAGCAGCTGGAACTCGGGTTCCGAAACGGTCCTGGGGAGGCTGCCGGCCGCCAGCTCAGGGGGTGTCCTGGGAACGGCCTGGAACGGCGGCTGCTGTGGCCTTTTAGGGAGCGCGCCGCCCACCAGGGGCTCCGACGTGGTCCTGGGTAGGTGACCCTCCCGTGTCAGCGGGGGCTTCTGGGGGTGGGCGCCTCTCTCGGGCTGCGGGGGCTTCGGGGTGTGGGGTGGGGGGTAGCTGACGGCTGACTGTGAGGACTTTCGGGGGGGTGCGCCAGCCTCGGCCCAGGGGGCGGCTTCCATGGACTCCGACATCAGCTGCTTCCTGGTGCCCACAGTGGGCCCCAGACCGGGCTGCTGGGGGGCCTTCCTGGGGGATTGGAGGGGCTTCTCAAACTGCTTGGAGAGTTCCCACATCTCAGGTGTCGGGGGCTCTATCTCCGGGAACTCAGACTGGGGGGACTTCCTGGGGCTATCGGTGAACTCAGGTTGTGACAGCTTCCTGGGGGTGGCAGGCTGCGGGGACTTCCTAGGGGCGTCAGAGAACTCAGGCTGTGGGAGCTTCTTTGCAAGAGCAGGGAACTCAGGCTGCGGGAGCTTCCTGGGGGGCTCAGGGAACTCAGGCTGCGAGGGCTTCTTTGGGAGGGCAGGGAACTCGGGCTGCGGGGGCTTCTTTGGGGAGGCAGGGAACTCAGGCTGCGGGGGCTTCCTGGGGGGCTCAGGGAACTCAGGCTGCGAGGGCTTCTTTGGGAGGGTAGGGAACTCGGGCTGCGGGGGCTTCTTTGGGGAGGCAGGGAACTCGGGCTGCGGGGGCTTCTTTGGGGAGGCAGGGAACTCAGGCTGCGGGGGCTTCTTTGGGGAGGCAGGGAACTCAGGCTGCGGGGGCTTCCTGGGGGACTCAGGGAACTCAGGCTGTGAGGGCTTCTTTGGGAGGGCAGGGAACTCGGGCTGCGGGGGCTTCCTGGGGGGCTCAGGGAACTCAGGCTGCGAGGGCTTCTTTGGGAGGGCAGGGAACTCGGGCTGCGGGGGCTTCCTGGGGGGCTCAGGGAACTCAGGCTGCGAGGGTTTCTTTGGGAGGGCAGGGAACTCGGGCTGCGGGGGCTTCCTGGGCCCCACACTGAACTCGGGCTTCGGAGGGTGCTCGCTGAGATCAGTGGGTGGAAACTTCTTAAGGAGCTTGTTGATCTCTGGCTTTGAGGATTTTCTGGGGAGGCCGCTGGTCTCGGGTTGAGTGGCCTGAAACTTGGCCTGCAGGCTCCGGAAATCCTGAGGGCTCCCCTACGGGACACGGAATCGAGTCACATGGGGCCTGGGGACAGGTTGCACCCCCTGAAACCGTCCTTTCAGAGGGACCAGCGCCCTTCCTCACCTCTGCCCTGGTGATTCTCTTTGGGTGCCAAGGCTGCCCACCGGTGTCTGCACGCTGGCCCCCACCCCCTGCGGCCCTAAGCCTCTGATTTCACCCTCAGCCCCCCTCTCCCTTGCTAAGCCTCTTTCTTTCTCTCTTTTTATTTATTTTTGGTTTTCAGGGCGAATCCTGGCTCTGCACTCAGGAATCGCTCCTGGCGGTGCTCAGGGGACCCTATGGGATGCTGGGAATCGAACCCGGGTTGGCCGCGTGCAAGGCAAACGCCCTACCCGCTGTGCTACTGCTCCAGCCCTGTGCGACTGCTCTGACTTCTCTTTATTGTTTTGGGCCCTGTGGGTAGTACTCAGGAATTACTCTGGGTGGTGCTTGGGGAACCGTACGGGGTGCCAGGAATCGAACCTGGATTGGTTGCGTGCAAAGCAAATTGCCCGACCCTGTCACTCCAGCCCCGACCTCTCATTTGCTTCGATCCTTGCTCACAGCCCCCTGCCATCACCCGCCAGAGGACTGCCCCTGGTCTCTCCTCCTTCACCCCCATCACAGGCACCAGGAGACCCCCGTTACTTCTGTGTACCCCCATGTGCCTTCTGCCCAAAATGAGGTTTTCTCAAATAGTCGCAGTGAGTCAGGCTCTGTCTGGCCACCCTGCCCGTCACCTGACCCCCGTCACCTGACCCCAGCGCCCACTTCCCCTGCTCCCCACAGCCCTGGGGCCTGAGACACTTCCCCTGATTTTTGAAAAGAACCAGATGCAGGGGCTGGAGCGATAGCACAGCGGGGAAGGTGTTGGCCTTGCATGCAGCCAACCGGGGTTCGATTCCCAGCATCCCATATGTTCCCCCGAGCATGGCCAGGAGTAATTCCTGAGCGAAGAGCCAGGAGTAACCCCTGTGCATTGCCAGGTGTGACCCAAAAAGGAAAAAAAAAAAAGAACCAGATGCAGCTGGGTTCAATCCCTCGCACCCCATGGGGTCCCCCAAGTGCAAAGCCAGGAACCCTCAGCCTTGAGCACTGCTGGATGTGGCCCCCAACAAAAATTAAAAGGAGGCAGTGAGATGCGTGCAGGGCGTTGGGGGGTGGGGGCTCTCCCAGGGGCCACAGTGATGGGGTGACGGGTGGGGTACGAAGGTAGGGGCAGGGCCTCTGCCCTGCTGGTGCCTCACTGTCTCCATCCCGCAGAACTGGCCAAAGTGGGCATCGAGGGGGCTGGAGCGGTAGCACAGCGAGGAGGGCGTTTGCCTTGCACGCGGCCGACCCGGGTTCGATTCCCAGCATCCCATAGGGTCCCCCGAGCATCGCCAGGAGTCATTCCTGAGTGCATGAAGCAGGAGGAACCCCTGTGCATTGCCGGGTGTGACCCAAAAAGCAAAAAAACAAAACAAAACAAAAAACAAAGTGGGCATCAGTGTCCTGAGCCCCCCGTGTGCCTCTATGAAGCTCTGGGGTATGACTCAGAACAAGGGGAACCCACAGGATGGAGAAATTCAAGTCATCTGTCACGCCATGGTGGACTATCGGGGCTGGGGGAGACAGTGAGTGTGACCCACTTTGTCACCCTTTCCTGCTGACCCCGGGTGGGGGATCGCTCCTCTTCCATGTAAAGGCCCCTGGAGCATTGGGCTATACCCCATCTCTTCAGGACCTTGGAGATGGTCATTCCTTGTTTCTCAGACCGGGCAGAGACCCTTCACTTGAACCCTGCACCTCAGAATCTGCCCATGGGAAGTGAGGGCTCGGGGGGGGGGCAGGGATTGGGGTGGTCTACTGGGGGACTCACCATGGCTGCAGGCGATGAGGGTCCAAGAGTCCTGCCTCACAAGAGTGGAGAACAGCGTTTGCTCCACAGCCTGGGGGCTCAGAGCAGGAAGGAAGGGAGGCGGGGACCAGCCCAGCCTGTCCCCAGATCCTGTCTGGGGACATGTAAGTTCCTGTCCCATTTACCACTGTCTGCAGGCCCCCCCCACCCCCACCCACACACCCACCTTGGAGCAGCGCAGGGGTTGACGCCCACCCTCTCCAGCCCGCAGCCCCCCACCAGCCACAGCTTCCATGGAAGTGGGGGGCCGCCTTCCAGGCGGTGGCGTGACTGGCTCTGGGTGGGAGACCCCGAGTTTTGGGGGGGTCCTTCCTGCTGGTGCCTTCAATGTTGCCTCATTTCATTTCGACACTTCCCTACTTCAAGCGGGACTTCTCTGTTCTGGGGGGTTGTGGGGGCCATTCAGGGCCTCATTCCTTTGGGCAGGGCGGGGTTCCCAGGCCAGTGGCCAAGTGGCCCGAGTGCCTGAGTCGGGTGGACCTATGACCTCACTCACCCTGACTTTCGCACGTAGTGGGTGCTTTGGGCAGCGCCTGGAGATTTTCAGTCCGGATTGGCCTGGCCTGGTCTGAGCTCCTGGAAAGCTTAGCCCAGGTGTGGTGACCTTTTTTTTTTCTTTTTTTTGCCTTTTGGGTCACACCCGGCGATGCTCAGGGGTGACTCCTGGCTCATGCACTCAGGAATTGCTCCTGGCGGTGCTCGGGGGACCATTTGGGGTGCTGGGAATCGAACCTGTGTTGGCCATGTTGACTGCGTGCAAGGCAAACGCCCTACCCGCTGTGCTATCGCTCCAGCCTGAGGTGGGGTGACTTTTTTGCTATTCCTGGCCAACTCCCCAGAGTGCCCGGAGATCAATCCTGGTGGCTGAGATGCGGTCACCTTGGACTGTGTGTGTGTGTGTGTGTGTGTGTGTGTGTGTGTGTGTGTGTTTGCATGTGCGTGCATGCAGTTACCTTAGACAACATGTGTGTGTGTTGGGGGTGCCACTGGCCTGTGGGTCCCCGATATCCTAGGTGACTGCCCTGTGGGTCCCCAACTTCAGGCTGGCTGTGTAGTCCTTGCCCTCTGGACATCAGGGAGGGTCACTGGGGATGAGCAAAAAGCATTTGGAACTTTTTTTTTTTTTTTTTTTGCTTTTTGGGTCACACCTGGCGACGCACAGGGGTTACTCCTGGCTCTGCACTCAGGAATTACTCCTGGCGGTGCTCAGGGGACCAGATGGGATGCTGGGAGCAAGCCGCCAAGATGCCCCCCCCGCCCCTGTACCCCTCCCCTCCCGCTCCCCCAGGCCCGCTCAGGGAGTAATTCCTGAGTGCAAAGTCAGGAGTAACCCCTGAGCATCGCAGGGTGTGACCCAAAAAAGCAAAAAAAAAAAAAAAAAAAAAATGTTGCTGGGGGGCTGGAGCAATAGCACAGTGGGTAGGGCATTTGACTTGAATGCAGCCAACCCAAGTTCGATTCCCAGCATCCCATATGGTCCCCTGAGCACCGCCAGGAGTAACTCCTGAGTGCAGAGCCAGGAGTAACCCCTGTGCATCGCCGGGTGTGACCCCTCCCCAAAAAAAAGACGATGCAGGCTTGTACCACATGGTCCCTCGAGCAGTGCTGGGGTTGATAAGCTTCCAGCACAGAGAAGCAGGAATGGCCCCTGAGCACTGCCAGATGGAACCACCCCCACGGGCCCCCAGAAAAAAGCCAGGAAGGTGCAACCAGCCCAACGCCGGGTGTGACCCCCCCCCCAAAAAAAAGACGATGCAGGCTTGTACCACATGGTCCCTCGAGCAGTGCTGGGGTTGATAAGCTTCCAGCACAGAGAAGCAGGAATGGCCCCTGAGCACTGCCAGATGGAACCACCCCCACGGGCCCCCAGAAAAAAGCCAGGAAGGTGCAACCAGCCCAAGGGCCGTGTCCAGATCAGGGCCAGCAGCGTCGCACTATCCTGAACCCCAGCCCTGACCGCTTCCCCTTAAAAGGGGAAAGAGAAGACCCCTGGGTCAGGGCTGAGGGGGATGGGCAGCGGCAAAGGAGGGTCCAGCAAACCCCTCCACCGTGGGGAATACCCAACCGCCATCTGGGAGGGTTTTGCCCGGGTCCTTCTAACCTGGGAGGTGGGGGACACCCTGCGCTGTGTTACAACCTGGAGCCCCACCAGGCTCTGTCGCTCCTAACACTTCCCATCCCTGTAGCCTGTGGAAGTAGCAGCTGAGCAAGGTGGGGGCCACAGGAGATGCCCCCTGGGCTGGAGGCGGGTCAGGGAGCTAGGTGGGGGCACAGCTGGGCAAGGAAGCAGCATCTTCGAGCACCCCTGGACTGCTCACGGAGGGGCAAGGGACCCAGAAACAGCACCGGCTTGCTCCGTTATTGTTACCCGAATCCCTCCAAGGTCGAGCCCCACCCCCCACCCCAGCCAACCAAGAGCCTCGCGACAACACTGGACACACCCTGCAAGCTAGCGGTGGTGGCAGGCGACTGACTCTGCAGGTGCGAGCGGGGCGTGGCCTGGGAGGGGCGTGGTCCGGGAGAGGGGCGTGGTCCGGGAGGAGAGGGGGCGTGGCCTGAGCATCAGCCCGGCCCCTCGCGTGCTCCTGGGTCTCACCTGCGCGCGTCGGTGCGCAGCTGCCCGGGCACAGGGGGGTATGGGGGGGCGCTGCGGGGCCGGCGAGGCGGTGGTCCTCCACCTGCAGCGTGATGGCAGGCCGCGAGGCCGTGGACAAGGCGCACTGCATGCATGAGCCGTGGTCTCAGGTGTGGTCCACCTGATGCAGCTAGGGGCAGGTGGGGGGCCCCGACCCCCTTAACCCCCGCCCCCCCCAGTGGAGGGTAGCAGGCAGGCGCCCTGCCGTGGCCTGGTGGTCTCTAGACTTGCCTTCGCCCCGGGTACCCCAGCCCCGTCCCGGGGGAACAACGCAGGAGGCGGGCAGAGGCAGGCGCGAGGCCGCGGGCGCAGAGCAAGGCACGGAGGCCAGAGATTTATTAGGCAAAAATCCTGTATTTCGGCGGGGAGCGGCGGTGGCTCTTCCGACCACCTGGGAAAGGGGGCGGCGACAGCGCCAGCTGTGCCCCCACGCTGGGTCCGGCGGGTCGCAGGTAAGGAATCCCCTCCACCCATCCCGGCGATCACCTGCACGCACCTGGGGGCGCGTCCGAGCCGCCCTGGGGTCTTCGTGGGCTGCCGCCTGCACCTGCGGCCAGAAGGGTGGGTGAGGGTCAGCGCGGGGAGCCGGCGCCCCCCGCCGCCCCCGCGGCCCCCGCACTCACCTTGGCTCTTCTTCCAGACGGCGGCGCTGGAGGCGGGCGGCCCGGGCGCAGCGGCCAGGAAGGGGCGCAGGCGTGGGGGGTTCAGGCCAAAGGGCGCGGGGTTCAAGTAGGGCCGGAAAGGCCCCGAGGGCGTCGGGGCGGGGGTGGCGAAGGGCTCGAGCAGCGGGAACGGCAGGCCCGGCCCCGAGGCGGGGTCGGACTCCGCGGGGCGCTCGGACACTGGCGGCTCCTTGTCCAGGGCGGGGGGCTGCGGCGGCGGCGGCGGCGGCGGGGGGGGCTGGGCTCTGGGCACGCTCGGCGCACACATGCAGGTGCTTGAAGAGGGAGCGGTGTGTGCGGAAGCGCAGCAGGCAGTTCTCACACCTGGGGGGCAGGCACAGGGATGGGCTGGCTCCCCCCGCCCCCACCCCCAACAAGCGGGTGGGGGGGCTGGGGTCCAGATCACGCATCGGGGCTGGAGCGACGGGACAACGGGCAGGGTGCTTGCGTTGGCTCCCGGGCAACCCACATGGTCCTCCAAAGCCCACCAGGTGTAGCCCTGAGCATCACCGGGTATGGACCAAACACACACACACACACACACACACACACACACACAAAATAAATGTCCAAATCGCACCATCTCGTTCCCCACCTGCAGGGGTGGGCGGAGGGGCTCGCTTTATGCCCACAGCCCTTTCGTGGCCGCGCCCTAACTTAGGTCGGAGCCCCGAGAAAACGAGGACGGGAATCTCAATTCTGACTTAGGTGAGAGCACCTGCTGGCTGGGTGGGAGGAGGAAAAGGGGGCGGGGGCGGAGCAACGGCCACGGAGGCCCCGCCCCAGGCCCGGATCCGCCTATCAGGTTCCGTTGCGCTCCTGGGCGGGGCGGGCCCGAGACCACGCCCAGCTGCGGGATCTCTGGGTGGGACCCGGGGAGGGAAAGGTAACCGGCCTGCAGAAGGGCGCGTTTGGGGCTGGGCAGGGGGTCTCACTTGAAGTAGCGGTTGGGTTTGTAGTGCAGCTTGCCGTGGACCACCAGTTCCTGCATGCTGGGGAACGTCTCGGTGCAGCTCAGCGCCGAACAGCGGAACAGTTTGCCTGGCGGGGCGGGAAAGGAAGCAAAGGCGTGCCAGGCACGTGTCCCAGGGAACCCCCCCGCCCCGCCCTGCCCCCCCCCCCCACGGGGGCACTCTGCATGCCACCCGGCCCTACCTTCCAGAGACTGTGTGGGTGGGCAATGGGTCCGCAAATGCTGGGCCAGGTCTCGAATGCTGGGGAAACTGAGGCAGCAGCCAGGGCTGGAGCAGGCTATGTGCTTACCTGTAGGGATACACAGGGAGGAAGGGGAGTCACCTCCCCGCCCGCGCTGTCCTTTCCAGGTATCTGCCTGCTGGGCAGGACCCGGTGGGAACCTATCAGCCACTTACTCTGCCTCCCCCATCAGACAGGAGGCCAGTGCGAAGCTGGCCTAGGGCATCAGGGCACACCCACGGTGCCCAGGAAGTGGTGATCTCCCACGAGATGGACCCCAGGTTTGCAGACAATTTGTACTCATGGGTATAGGGGTTGTGGAGGCCAGAGCCGGAGGTGCTCAGGGATCACTCAGGGGTACCAAAAATGGATGTCAGGGACTGAACCCCGATCAGCTGCTTAAAAGGCATAAATGCCCACCCGCTATACCATCTCTCCAGTCCCGTGAACTCATTTTTTTGTTCTTTTTGGGTCACACCCGGAGATGCACAGGAATTACCCCTCCTGGCTTTGCACGCAGGAATTACTCCTGGCGGTGCTCTCCCGGGAGACCATATGAGATGCTGGGAATCGAACCCGGGTCACCTGGTGGTGGCGGCGGGCGACGTCGGGGAGACCGCAGGTCCTCGCTGGTCCCGGAGACTGTGCTGGTCAGACCGAGACCAGGGCCCGGGTCAGGATGGGCAACGTCCTCCGAGGCTGGCAAGGAGCCCTGCTGCGTCCCTCCGGCCCCAACACGTTCCCACACGGGGGGTGTGGCTGCCCGGTCAGGGCCTGGCTCCTCCCCCATGCTGGAGTAAGTGGCTGCTGCGGGGGCCACCGGGGACACCGCCTCCGGGACGGTCTCACTGGAGCTGGGCTCTGCAGTGGCCGGCTGGTTGGGGCATGGGTCCCCCGAGGGCTCCTCTTCCTGGAGGACGGAAGAGGCTGAGAGAACCCAGGGCCCGGGGACTGGAACCCAGGGCCGCGGGGGAAACCCGTCCCATGCCGCCGAGATGAATCGCTAGGCTCTGCATTCCTGCAAGCTGCCAGATCGGCTTCCACCTTAAGGGGCCACCCCGATGGTTGAGGGAGGTGGGACCCCAGGGTGTCCCCAGGCTATCCGAAGCAGCTCCTAGGTGTTCCTTCCCCGAGAGGGCAGAGACCCCCACCCCACCCCCCCACAACTGCAGGGACGTGGCCCAAAAGGATGACGCCGGGAGGCGAGGCTAGGGAGATGCAGGAGGGGTCAGAAATGACCAAGTCTGGGAGCGGAGGAAGCCCGGGGCAAGGCCGGGTAACGCTCAGGGGCGTGGCACGATGGATGTGGGCGTGGCCCGGCGATGCCTGGGCGTGGCCCGGCGATGCCTGGGCGTGGCCCGGTGGTGGCCTGGGCGTGGCCCGGTGGTGCCTGGGCGTGGCCCGGCGGTGCCTGGGCGTGGCCTGGCGGTGCCTGGGCGTGGCCCGGCGGCGGTGGGCGTGGCCTTGTCCCAGCCAGGCCCGGAAGTGGGGAGCCCGGCAGGGGTGGGCGAGGGCCCGGATGTGGGGGCGGGGCCGGCCGGCCGATGGACGCGCCGCAGGCCGCTCCCCAGCAGCCCCCGCTGCCTCCCCGCGCTCACGCCCCCCGGCGCCGCGCTCACCATCCTCAGCCCGGCTCGGCCTCTCGTCCTCGCAGCTCCGGCGGAGGCTCGCAGCCTACTCCCACGGCGGCCGCGGGCTCGCTTTCACAACGGCGCCATTTTTCCGGCCCCCGAGTCTCGCGAGAGTGGGGGGCGGGGCCTGCCGCCGCCGCCGCTGCCGCCGCCGCTCGAGGGGGCGGAGCCTGAGTCCCTCCCAGCCTTGCCGGACCCCCATGCCCCACTGCCCAGGCCAAAGCCATGCAACTTTTTTTTTCTTTTTTTTTTTTATTTTTGGGTCACATCTGGCGAGGCACAGGGGTTCCTCCTGGCTCATGCACTCAGGAGTTACTCCTGGCGGTGCTCGGGGGACCCTATGGGATGCTGGGAATTGAACCCGGGTCGGCCGCATGCAAGGCAAACGCCCTCCCCGCTGTGCTCTCTCTCCAGCCCCTAGACATCCTTTTATTATTATTTTTTTTGCTTTTGCTTTTTGGGTCACACCCGGCGATGCACAGGGGTCACTCCTGGCCCATGCACTCAGGAATTATCCTGGCGGTGCTCCGGGGACCCTATGGGATGCTGGGAATTGAACCCGGGTCGGCCGCATGCAAGGCAAACGCCCTACCCGCCGTGCTATCACTCCAGCCCCATGATGGCTCCATTTTTGTATACGTAAATGAAATACTGCTTTTCTTTTTCCTTTATGTCCTTTGTATAGTTTTATTTTATTTTATTTATTTTTTTGCTTTTTGGGTCACACCCGGCAATAATGCACAGGGCTTACTCCTGGCTCATGAACTCAGGAATCAGTCCTGGCGGTGCTCAGGGGACCCTATGGGATGCTGGGAATCGAACCCGGGTCGGCCGCATGCAAGGCAAACACCCTCCCCGCTGTGCTCTCTCTCCAGCCCCCATGCAACTTTTTATTTATTTATTTATTTTGCTTTTTGGGTAACACCCGGCGATGCACAGGAGTTACTTCTGGCTCATGCGCTCAGGAATTACTCCTGGCGGTGCTCGGGGGACCCTATGGGATGCCGAGGATCAAACCCAAGTTGATCCTTGCTACCTGCAAGAGAAAAATGCCTTTTTTTTTTCTTTTTGGGTCACACACAGCCGATGCTCAGGGGTTACTCCTGGTTCATGCACTCAGGAATGACTCCTGGCGGTGCTGGGGTGGGGGCACCCTATGGGATGCTGGGAATCGAACCCGGGTCGGCTGCGTGCCAGGCCAACGCCCTCCCCGCTGTGCTATTGCTCCAGCCCCGCAACTACTTTTTTTTTTCTGCCTCTCCTCTGCAGCTGACTTTGCGTGCGGCCGACACAGGTTCCATACCCAAAATCCCATAGGATCCCCTGATTTCCGCCAGGAGCGATCCCTGAGCACGGAGCCAGGAGTAAACCCTGAGCCCTGCTGGTGTGGTCCAACCTCCACCCCTACAAATGAAAATGGGTCAAAGAGTCAACAGGGTGTGGGGTTGCCGGGTGGTCAGGGGCACCCATATTCAGGTGCAGGAAGGTAAGTGTCAGGTGCTGGCTGTTAGACTATGCTGCGTTGGGGTCGGCTCATCAGAAGTTCAGGCCCCGGCACCCTCTCTGGGCCGCTGAGCACCACCAAGGAGCAACCCCCAAACACTAAGCCAGGAGGAGCCTCTGAGCACTGCTGGGTGTGGCCTGAGAATCCTAGCTCCACCTCCAGCACCCCAACCCCAAACCTCATTCTCCCTCCTACCCTGCAGACTCTACTGCTGGGAGCTGGGCTGCTGAGAAGCTGGAACACCCCCAAGTGCCCAGGGGTGAGGGCAGTCAGCTCAGGAGGGTTCAGGGCCCCGAGAGGAGGCTGTGAACCAAAGCTGATTCAGACCCAGCTCCCAGGAAATCCCCTGACGGTAAGACCTGAGGCTACTGATCAGTCCAAGAGGCATTTCTGTGTGGGTTGGTTTTGTTTTGGTGTTTAACGGAAAGGGACCACACCCGGGGTTGATGGGCATTCTCGGGCCAATCCAGGCGATATTCAGAGACCAGGCAGGTGCCGGATGAATGGGTGGACCCAGATTCTAATCGGAAGAGTATTTGCTCCCTCCACACAAACCACTGAACAAAACCGAGAGGGTTTTGTTTCTCCACCCAGGCCTCTGTTTTCCCTCCTGTCAAATGGGAGCTTTGCGGGCTCCGCCCTCATGGGGCTGAGAGAAAGAGGTGCTGGTGGAGGGGTATGAGGGTGCTCAGAAAGTTGATTCACGGTTCACTTGGCAAATCTTTATTGCCCCTGCGTAATGCATCCTTGTGGAGGCCCTGAATCTCTGACCGTTGCATTGCCCGCGGGCCATACTCAGGGGACAGCTGGGAGGTAGGCTGGACCACTGGAGGTCGAAGGAAATGAGAAGTGAAGGGTGACAGGCAGGGCTCAAGGCCTTCAGTGCAGCGGTGACGACCAGGACCCAGAGCCCCCTGGCTGGGCTGGGAGCCCCAGGAGCTGGTCTTGAGCCAAAGTAACCAAGACAAACAGGAGTCCTGCTGGCAGGGCCTGGCATCCCAGCAGGATGGGGGACACATTGCGGAGGGGGTGGAGCGTTCTGGGCTCCCCCTTTTCTTCATTCAGATCTTCTCCACGTAGTTTCCTGGGAAGAGGCCCTCCTGGCCATGCAGTCTGCCTTTCCACCAGCCCGAAGGGTCTGTGTGAGAGAAGAGAGCATGAGAGGGTGCCCCCAGCCTCCCAGAGACTCGACCTCCCTCAGACCCTCTGGCTCCCACTCCGTTCATTTCTAGATTGTATGCTTTTTTTTTTAATTTATTTTTTGCTTTTTGGGTCACACCCGGCAATGCACAGGGGTTCCTCCTGGCTCTGCGCTCAGGAATTACCCCTGGCGGTGTTCAGGGGACCCTATGGGATACTGGGAATCGAACCCGGCTCGGCCGCGTGCAAGGCAAACGCCCTCCCCACTGTGCTATCGCTCTAGGCCCTGTGTGTGCTTTTTTTTGTTTCGTTTGGTTTGGGGGCCATACCCGGCGATGCCCGGGGGTGACTCCTGGCTCTGCACCCAGGAATTGATGTAGGCAGGCAGGCAGAGAGGGCAGGCCCCCCCCCCCAAGGCTAATGCAGTGCATTTCCTGAAGTTGCAAAAGACAACCTTGCAGAAAGCAGGAACTAACGCCTGGTAAGACCCTTACCTGGTGCCAGCAACAGACCCAGAGAAGCCCCAGCAGAAACAGAAGGCCAGGAAAGGAATTTCAAAGAAGACCACCGCCACTCCCAACCCTACCCGCAACCTCCTTAGCAACAGACTCTTACCTAGATAGAAGCCCCACCTGGGGGCAGGCTGGAAAATCCCTATAAAAGCCACCTTGAACAAAGGAAGGGTGTTCAATATGTTGCTTCCATGTGCTGCTTGTGCCCGTATGTACACACGTGATGCCTGAGCACATGTGTCGCCCACATCTCCCCAATTGAGACGTGTGCTTTCATTCTTTCACGTCTAATGCTGGGACGTGAAAGAGCCGTGAATATAATCTCAGGGCTAGGATGAAAGAGACGTTACTGGGGCCTGCTCGAGGCAATCGACGATTAACAGGATGATGAAATGAAATGAAATGAAAATGAAATGCTGGGATGTGTGTAGGGGCTCTTGCCCCTCTGTCTTGCGTGCGTTATTCTCTACCGTATTTCTCTCTCTCCTCCCCTTCAAAACCTCCAAATAAAATCTGTTTCACTTCACTGTTTGTCTGCCTGAGATTCTTTTCTGTGAGGCGAGACAAGGACCCCGTAACCCTGAGTTCCGGGTGGCAGAGTCGTATGGGGAGAAAGTGACCGTCTTTCTCCTCCCCACGTCACATAAGCCGCCTGTGTGGCCCACCAGTATCAGAATTACTCCTGGCAGCGCCCAGAGGATGGGACCTGGGTCGGCCGCTTACAAGGTAAATGCCCTACATGCTGTACTATGGCCCCAGCCCTGCTATGTGCTTTTTGGGGGAGGGGTTTACTTTAGTTTTGGGGGCCACACCTGGCATTGCTCGGGGGCAATTCCTGGCTCTGTGCCCAGGACTGACCCGGTGGTGCTTGGGTTGGTGCTTGGGTCAATGAGGGTGCTGGAGATTTGAACTGAGTCCTGCGACGTGTAAAGGAAGTACCTTATCAGGCTGTACTATCTCTCTAGTCCCTTTTGGGCTTTTATTTTGAGGGGATGGGTTACACACAGTGGTTTTTAGGTGCACGCCTGGCTTTTTTTTTTCTTTTTTGGGTCACACCCAGCGATGCACAGGGGTTCCTCCTGGCTCTGCACTCAGGAATCACTCCTGGCGGTGCTCAGGGGACCATATAGGATGCTGGGAATCGAACCCGGGTTGGCCGCGTGCAAGGCAAACGCCCTACCCGCTGTGCTATCTCTCCAGCCCCCAGGGTATCTCTTATGGTCCACTGAGCATCACTGGGTGATGGCGTGGTGGGCTGACCCAAACCCAACCTCCTCCCCCCCCCCCCCCCCCCCCCCCCCCCCCCCCCGCACCTGAATAACAAACCACCTGATTTCCTGATTTTGTCTTTTTTACCGTTGCTAATCCCTATGGAAACAAGAACTATACATGGAGGGAGAGAGAGGTAAGTAGGGCTGGGGCCCACAGTACAATGGGCAGCCTTAGGGCTGGAGCGATAGCACAGCGGGTAGGGCGTTTGCCTTGCACGCAGCCAACATGGCCAACACAGGTTCCATTCCCAGCATCCCATATGGTCCCCCGAGCACCGCCAGGAGCGATTCCTGAGTGCATGAGCCAGGAGTAACCCCTGAGCATCGCCGGGTGTGACCCAAAAAGCAAAAAAAAAAAAAAAAGAAAAAGAAAAAAAACCCCAAAAAACAATGGGCAGCCTTGCATGCAGCCGACTCGGGTTTGAGATCCAGCACCACGTGTGAGCTCAGAAGTGTTGGTCCCTGACCACAGAGCCAAGAGTAAGCCCCGAGTCCAGCCTAGTGTGCAAACAAAAAGAAAACCGAAAATTCCCAAGTGGGACCCAGGAATGGGCCCTGTGCAGTTCCCACAGTCACCGGCAGGGGCGCTGTCGAGCTCCAGCAGCGGGAAAGGGTTTCCCCTTTCGGCGCAAAGTCGATGCAGCAAAATCGATGCAGTTCCTGGCAAGGAAAGGGGCACCCTGGCGGGGGTCTGGGGGAGTCTCTACGTCCTGGGCGGGGGGCGTGGCCGGTTCTTGGGCTGCCTGGCCTGACTCCTGACCTGACTCCTCCCAGCCCGCGCACCTTCCAGGAGGATCTCAATGACTTCATTCACGTTGAAACTCAGTTCATCCACGTCCTGGCCCACGTACTGGTACAGCGCCCGGCACCGCGGACCGTACGCCCGTGGCTGGGGCTTGGGTCGGCCCACGCCGGGCACGGGTCGTTGCCCCACGCTGAGCTTTCTCTGCATGCTGGGGACACAGAGGAGAGGTGGGTGGGGGGTGGGGGATGGGGGTGGGGGGGGACACAGGCTCATCACCACTCCCAGAACACGTGCCACTCCCGTCCCCGTCCCCGTCCCCGTCCCAGGACAGCCTGGACACCATCCCCACCGCCACCTACCCGGCGACCCCCTGGTCTGGCACGTTGAGGAACTCTGTGTTATGCTCCGAGGGGGGCCGAGCCCTTGGGCGGCGGCTGGCACCCAGGGCTGAGGAGGGAGGGGCCTGGGGGCGCTGCTGGGAGCTCCTTCCAGATGTGATCTCCAGGGGCAGGGGTCCCCTTCTGCCAGCGGGGGGCACTCCATTGCGGTCCTGACCTGCGGGAGGAACAAGGACAGGCATTTATCTGTCATACTAGGAGGGGACTGGCATTTGCTTTGCACGCGGCCGACCCGGGTTCGATCCCCAGCATCCCATAGGGTCCCCCGAGCACCGCCAGGAGTAATTCCTGAGTGCAGGGCCAGGTGTAACTCCTGTGCATCAACGGGTGTAACCCCCCAAAAGTATATATATATATATATATATATATATATATATCTGTCATACTAGGAGGATTCGAGGAGGTCCTGGGGCCAAGTTCCCCCCTCTAAGAAGGTGAGCAGTGCCCTCCACTCAGTTTGTCCAGGACCGGGCAGGCTTTGCAGAGCTAAGATAACACCCACTGGGCTGCAGAGATAGCACAGTGGGAGGGCTTTTGCCTTGCCTGCGGCCGGCCACCAGGGTTTGATCCCAGAACCCACCTATGGTCCCCAGAGCCCCACCAGGAATGATCTCTGAGTGCAGAGCCATGAGTAAGCCCTGAGTATTACAGGGCGCAGCCCACCCCCAAAACAGGATTCTCCCCCCACCCCCAGTCCTCTGTATCCCGACTTTTTTTTTTCTTTTTGGGTCACACCCAGCAATGCACAAGGGTTCTCCAAGCTCTGCGCTCAGGAATTACTCCTGGCAGTGCTCAAGGGACCATATGGGATGCTGGGAATCGAACCCGGGTCGGCCACGTGCAAGGCAAACGCCCTACCTGCTGTACAACTGCTCGAGGCCCTGTATCCTGACGTTTTTAATGTGGGTTCACCCCACACCACAGTGTTCAGGGGCTACTTCTGACTCAGTGCTCAGGGATTACTCCTGGCGGTTCTCAGGGGACCATATACGGTGCTGGGATCAAACCTTTCAAGGTAAGCGCCTTAGCCTTTGAATTCTTGTACTATCTCTCCAGTCACTGCAGCAGGGATTTTGAGGGTGGGTTCTTGGAGGATGGAATTGGAGCTCGAGTGGAAAGGGAATTTGCAAGAACTGCAGTAAGCAGTCGAATTGGAGGAAGGGCTGACGGTAAGAACCACGGTGGGAGGGCTGGAGTGATAGCACAGCGGGTAGGGCGTTTGCCTTGCACGCGGCCGACCCGGGTTCGATTCCCAGCATCCCATATGGTCCCCCGAGCACCGCCAGGAGTAATTCCTGAGTGCATGAGCCAGGAGTGACCCCTGTGCAACGCCTGGTGTGACTCAAAAAAGGAAAAAAAAATAGAAAAAGAACCACGATGAGAAGTTGGCGAAGCTAATTAGCTTTCCTGATGGGGCTGTCAGATGTCAAAGGTAGGGAGAGGAAAGGTCAAAGGTTACCCAGGGTAGAAAGCTAGAAGGCTCTGATTGCTCTGCCCAACTGGGAGATTTGGGAGCTCCTGAGCATTCTGGCTGGAGTGGTTTTTGTCAAAAAAAAAAAAAAGATGTTTAGGGGCTGGATCGATAGCACAGCGGGGAGGGCGTTTGCTTTGCACGCGGCTGACCCGGGTTCGATTCCCAGCATCCCATAGGGTCCCCCGAGCACCGCCAGGAGTCATTCCTGAGTGTGTGCATCGCCGGGTGTGACCCAAAAAGCAAAAAAAAAAGAAAAGAAGAAAAAGATGTCTAGTTTAGGTAATGCAACCCACAAGAAGCCACGGAAGAAAGCGCGTGTGTGTGTGTGTGTGTGTGTGTGTGTGTGTTCTCACCTCTGGGAGGTCCAGGGGCTGCTCGGGTAGGACCCTGGGCAAACCTTCGAGGTTTCCCCTGGGCTATCGTCTTCCTCGTAGGCTCTGAAAGGATGGAGGGAGTTGAGAGTGGACGTCTGCAAGGTTAGCCTCCTTTGGCGGCTCCGCTCCATTCATTACCCCCGTACTAGCTCCACTCACAGACGGACCACGCCCCCTTCCAGGACCCACTTGCTCATTGGCCTGGCTCCTGGCACCGCCCCGTTTACGAACGAGCTCATTGGCCGCCTTTAGCCACGCCCCTTCCCATTTTCTGACTCGCTCATTGGTCACCTGGTTAGCTCCCCGGGGGCCCCACAGCCGCCCCAGCCCCTCCGATTGGCCGATCCCCTCGTTGGCCACGCCTTCTTCCAGGCCCCGCCCTCCACCTTCAGTTCTGCGCAGACTCACTGGAGTTTTTGGGCAGCCCGTCCCCGACGCTGACCGTGAGGGACCGGCCGCTGGCCTTGAGCACGGCCACGTCGCCCGAGCCCCGACAGAACGTGACGCTGCGGCTGCTGCCTCCGCCCCAACCCTCCTTCTTCACCCGGAACTGTAGTCTGTGGGGACAGGAGGGAACCGTGGGGGTGCTGGGGAGGTCCCTGCGCCCACCCGCCCGGGCCCGGTGCACGGGTTCGAGGGGCGCGCGTACGCGTCGCTGAAGGTCAGGGCCAGGGGCCTGCGGGCCGCCTCCTCGAAGCGTTTGCACAGGAGGCTGATGAGCTCCGTCTTGAAGATGCTCTCCAGGAAGCTGTCGGCCGCGTCCTCCTGGAGCACGAAGAAGTCGTCCTGCCGCGTGCTGGGCGCGAGGACACGCAGGTCAGTGACCGACGGGGAGGCGGCCCGAGGGGCCCCAGGGGCGATGCAGCGGCGGGGGAGGTTCCGGACGGCCCAGGGCGGTGGAGCGGTGGGACAGCGGGGAGGGCGCCGGCCTTGATCGCGGCCACCCCACGTCCCATCCCGGGTCCCCCATGGACTGCACCCCGGGCCCCCTCCAGGAGTGGACCAGCCCTCATCACTGCCGGGCGTGGCCCCCCAAAAATAGCCAAGGGAGGGCTGGAGCAAGAGCACAGCGGGGAGGGCGTTTGCCTTGCACGCGGCCGACCCGGGTTCGATGCCCAGCATCCCATAGGGTCCCCCGAGCACCGCCAGGAGTTAATTCCTGAGTGCATGAGCCAGGAGGAACCCCTGTGCATCGTCGGGTGTGACCCAAAAAGCAAAAAAAGAAAAAAAGTGCAGGGGTTGGAGCAATAGCACAGCGGGGAGGGCGTTTGCCTTGCACGCGGCCGACCCGGGTTCGATGCCCAGCATCCCATAGGGTCCCCCGAGCACCGCCAGGAGTTAATTCCTGAGTGCATGAACCAGGAGTGACCCCTGTGCATCGCCGGGTGTGACCCAAAAAGCAAAAAAAGAAAAAAAGTGCAGGGGCTGGAGAGATAGCACAGCGGGGAGGGCGTCTGCCTTGCACACGGCCCACCCGGGTTCGATTCCCGGCATCCCATAGGGTCCCCTGAGCACCGCCAGGAGTAACTCCTGAGTGCAGAGCCAGGAGGAACCCCTGTGCATCGCCAGGTGTGACCCAAAAAGCAAAATAAATAGATAAATAAATAAAGCCAAGGGAGGAGACTGGCAGGACCAGGTGGGAGGGCGTTTGCCTTGCACGCGGCCGACCCGGGTTCGATGCCCGGCTTGGTTAGCAGCAGCCAGACAGGTGACAGATGGGGGTTACGAAAGGTCGCCGAAGATGACCAGAGGGCCACCCGATCCGGCAATGCTGGGCACCTGAGCGCGACTCCCCGCAGAGCCTGGATCTCCAGTTTCTTCTTCAGCACTTCGCACACCTGACCCTTCTGGGGCCCCTTCTTCACCTTCTCACGCCCGATCACGTACACGCACTTGGGCGTCAGGATCAAGTCCCTCTTGATGGGCTGTGGGGAGGCAGGGCCAGAGAGGGTGGTGACTGGAACCTGGCCCAGGTGCGGGATAGGGGGATCCTGGCAGGGCAGGGGGCAGGAGGGGGGGAGGCCCTCCACGTGACGGATGGGAGGGGGCTGCCAGGTTTTTGGTGAGGAACCGGTGCAGGGGAGCTGGGACACAGATCCGGGTAGGTGAAGGGGTGTCCGTGCCCTGGGCCACCCCCGCCAGAGGAAGTGGCGTCCTTGAACACAGGTGAAACGAGGCCAGGTGAAGGTGTCTTATAGACATATCTATTGGGACCTGCAAGGGTGTCCACTACGGAAGTGCTGTGACCCGGAAGAGAGCGAGCGAGGGGGGCTGGAGTGATAGCACAGCGGGTAGGGCGTTTGCCTTGCACGTGGCCGAACCGGGTTCGACTCCCAGCATCCCATAGGGTCCCCTGAGCACCGCCAGGGGTAATTCCTGAGTGCATGAGCCCGGAGGAACCCCTGTGCATCACCAGGTGTGACCCAGAAAGCAAAAAAAAAAAAAAAAAAAAAAAGTTCAGGGGCTGGAGAGATAGCACAGCGGGTAGGGCGTTTGCCTTGCACACGGCCGACCCGGGTTCGAGTCCCAGCATCCCATATGGTCCCCTGAGCGCACCATATCGCTCCGGCCCCTGCATAGGCAAGAGCACAGGTGTGTGTCCGAGCTGAGTACAGTCCTGTGTCCCCCTGAGCGGGCTACCTCTTGGGAAGTGTGTGTGTGTGTGTGTGTGTGTGTGTGTGTGTGTGTGTGTGTGTGTGTGTGCCAGTCCGGGGCAATGTCCTGCTCTGCCCAGCACCTCACCTTGAAGCGCCGGTCGTACTTGGTGACAGAATCGGCAAAGTCCACGCGCTCCCTCTTGGCCAGGAACTGGCGCAGCTCGGGCCGCTCCTCCAGGCCCAGGTAGTCGCCCACGAAGTTGCGGTTGATGCTGTTCCTCCGCCGCTCTTTCTTGTGCAGGAGGATGTTGGACGCTGGGGGTTTGGGGGACAGACAGGTCGGGGCCGGCCCGGCGGACCCCGACGGGCTCCCCCCCCCACCCGCACCCCTTCTCGCCCCATCCCCGCCGCCTCACCTTCCTCCCGCATCTCCTGGTACTTCCTCACGGCCACGTGGCGCCTCCAGGCCTTCTGGATGGTGCGGGCGAAGCCGTCGAACTTGCGTTCCCGCATCTCCTCCAGCAGGAAGAGCTGAGCGGGAGAGAGAAGGGTGCGAGGTCTCAGCCTCTCTCCAGGGCACCCCCCCGTCTCCCCAAATTCGCTTCATAGGCATGCTCTGTACCCCAATTGCAGGAAGGACAATGACCAGCATTTAAAAAAATTTCCTTTGGGGGCTGGAGCGATAGCACAGCAGGGAGGGCGTTTGCCTTGCACGCGGCCGACCCGGGTTCGATTCCCAGCAGCCCATAGGGTCCCCTGAGCACCGGCAGGGGTAATTCTTGAGTGCAGAGCCAGAAATAACCCCTGTGCATCGCCGGGTGTGACCCAAAAAGCAAACAAAAAAAAATCTATGTGCATCAGAGGACCTGGGAGGGGGTGAAAGAGTATAGCGGGGAGGGGAGGGTGCTGGCCTCGCACACACCAACCCAGGTTTGATCCTGGCATCCCGTAGGGTCCCGGAGCCCTGCCAGGGAGGATTCATGAGCACAGAGCCAGGAGTAAGCCGTGAGCACTGTTCACTGTAGCTCGCCACTCCCCCCAAAGGAAACCAAGGACCCAGAGTTCCTGGCATCGGGGAACCTGGTCCCCCCTGGTCCCCTCCTGGTGTCAATTCAGGGGTGCTCGAGGGGGTCCTCGACTACGCCCTGACTCCAGCCTGGCCTGCGAGAGCTGCCCAGCCCACCAGAGCTCTTCGGGGGTCCCCCCTGCACCCCGACGATGCCTCCCGTTACTCTTCCCACTCTGCAAATGTTGGGGGCCAGGGGGTGAAGGAGGGAGGCCTGAAAGGCTCAGGGTCCCTGTCGTGACTTCTGAGAGCATGAACCGCTGGCGACTCCCCCATACTCACCGACTCCGGGTTCTTGACGAAGACCTTGGTGCCCCCCATCTGGTACTGGTCGGGTTCCATATTGACCGCACGGAGCAGGTGTTGGACGCCCTGACGCTCGTCCCCCCCACGCCAGTACGGCCACGTCTCGGGGGTGAGGATGGCGTACCTGGAGGGGATGGCCGGGTGTGGGACCCCCGTGCGCACGGCGGGGGGCGGCTGGGGGTGCTGGGAGGGCTGCCAGGGCTGCCTCACCTCTGCAGGAACTTGGAGAACTGGCGGCGGTAGGCGAAGCCCGCGCGGCGCACCCTGATATTCTCCTTCAAGCCCAGGTACTCCACCTGGTGCTTCACCCTGCAGGCGGGGCGCAGTCTGAGCCCCCTGAAGGGGTGGGGGCCCTGTCGTGGGAGGGGCGCTACTGAGGCCAGGGCTGGCAGGCAGAGCCTGGGTTGGTGCTGGAAGCAGTTTGAGGGGGAGGAGGGCTTCAGTGGGTCCCGGGCTGGGAGCCAGTTTTTCTCTGCGTGTATGTGGTTTTTGGGCCACACCTGGGGGTGCTCAGGGAGGACCCCTGATGCGGTGCTCAAGGATCACTTCTGGCAGGGCTTCAGGGACCCGATGTGAAGCTGAGCATCGAACGTGGGTAGGCTCTGCGCAAAGCAAGTGCTTTCCCCCTGGACTCTGCTCAAACCCCACTTAGCGGCCCGTTTTGTGGGGAGGAGCTGATGTACTGGGTTGGAGCCTTCTTTTGGGGGTGGGACTCATGGTGAGGGGTGGTGCCTGTGTTCTGGGGGCGGGGCTTGTGGCTAGGGGCGGAGCTTGTGTTCTGGGGCGGGGCTCGTGGCTAGGGGTGGAGCTTGTGTTCTGGGGGCGGGGCTTGTGGCTAGGGGTGGAGCTTGTGTTCTGGGGCGGGGCTCGTGGCTAGGGGTGGAGCTTGTGTTCTGGGGGCGGGGCTTGTGGCTAGGGGCGGAGCTTGTGTTCTGGGGCGGGGCTCGTGGCTAGGGGTGGAGCTTGTGTTCTGGGGGCGGGGCTTGTGGCTAGGGGTGGAGCTTGTGTTCTGGGGCGGGGCTCGTGGCTAGGGGTGGAGCTTGTGTTCTGGGGGCGGGGCTTGTGGCTAGGGGCGGAGCTTGTGTTCTGGGGCGGGGCTCGTGGCTAGGGGTGGAGCTTGTGTTCTGGGGCGGGGCTTGTGGCTAGGGGCGGAGCTTGTGTTCTGGGGGCGGGGCTCGTGGCTAGGGGTGGAGCTTGTGTTCTGGGGCGGGGCTCATGGCTAGGGGTGGAGCTTGTGTTCTGGGGGCGGGGCTCGTGGCTAGGGGCGGAGCTTATGTTCTGGGGGCGGGGCTTGTGGCTAGGGGCGGAGCTTGTGGCTAGGGGTGGAACTTGTGTTCTGGGGCGGGGCTCACGGCTAGGGGCGGAGCTTGTGTTCTGGGGCGGGGCTCGTGGCTAGGGGCGGAGCTTATGTTCTGGGGCGGGGCTCACGGCTAGGGGCAGAGCTTGTGTTCTGGGTGCGGGGCTTGTGGCTGGGGGTGGAGCTTGTGTTCTGGGGCGTGGCTCTTGGCTAGGGGCGGAGCTTGTGTTCTGGGGCGGGGCTCATGGCTAGGGGCGGAGCTTGTGTTCTGGGGCGGGGCTCATGGCTAGGGGTGGAGTCTGTTCTGGGGCGGACCTCATGGCTGAGGGTGGAGCCTGTACTGTGGGGGCGGAGCTTGTGGCGAGGGGTGGAGCTTGTGTTCTGGGGGCGGGGATTGTGGCTAGGGGTGGAGCTTGTGTTCTGGGGCGGGAGCTCATGGCTAGGGGCGGAGCTTGTGTTCTGGGGCGGGGCTTGTGGCTAGGGGTGGAGCTTGTGTTCTGGGGCGGGGCTCGTGGCTAGGGGTGGAGCTTGTGTTCTGGGGCGGGGCTCGTGGCTAGGGGTGGAGCTTGTGTTCTGGGGCGGGGCTCGTGGCTAGGGGTGGAGCTTGTGTTCTGGGGCGGGGCTCGTGGCTAGGGGTGGAGCTTGTGTTCTGGGGCGGGGCTCGTGGCTAGGGGTGGAGCTTGTGTTCTGGGGGCGGGGCTCGTGGCTAGGGGTGGAGCTTGTGTTCTGGGGCAGGGCTCATGGCTAGGGGCGGGGCTTGTGTTCTGGGGCGGGGCTTGAGGCTAGGGGTGGAACTTGTGTTCTGGGGCGGGGCTCGTGGCTAGGGGTGGAGCTTGTGTTCTGGGGCAGGGCTCATGGCTAGGGGCGGGGCTTGTGTTCTGGGGCGGGGCTTGAGGCTAGGGGTGGAGCTTGTGTTCTGGGGCGGGGCTCGTGGCTAGGGGTGGAGCTTGTGTTCTGGGGCGGGGCTCGTGGCTAGGGGCGGAGCTTGTGTTCTGGGGCGGGGATTGTGGCTAGGGGTGGAGCTTGTGTTCTGGGGCGGGGCTCGTGGCTAGGGGTGGAGCTTGTGTTCTGGGGCGGGGCTCGTGGCTAGGGGCGGAGCTTGTGTTCTGGGGCGGGGATTGTGGCTAGGGGTGGAGCTTGTGTTCTGGGGCGGGGATTGTGGCTAGGGGTGGAGCTTGTGTTCTGGGGCGGGGATTGTGGCTAGGGGCGGAGCTTGTGTTCTGGGGCGGGGATTGTGGCTAGGGGCGGGGCTTGTGTTCTGGGGGCGGGGCTTGTGGCTAGGGGCGGGGCTTGTGTTCTGGGGGCGGGGCTTGTGGCTAGGGGTGGAGCTTGTGTTCTGGGGCGGGGTTCATGGCTAGGGGTGGAGCTTGTGTTCTGGGGCGGGGATTGTGGCTAGGGGTGGAGCTTGTGTTCTGGGGCGGGACTCATGGCTAGGGGTGGAGCTTGTGTTCTGGGGCGGGGCTCATGGCTAGGGGCGGAGCTTGCGTTCTGGGGGCGGGGATTGTGGGTAGGGGTGGAGCTTGTGTTCTGGGGCGGGGCTCATGGCTAGGGGCGGAGCTTGCGTTCTGGGGGCGGGGCTTGTGGGTAGGGGTGGAGCTTGTGTTCTGGGGCGGGGCTCATGGCTAGGGGTGGAGCTTGCGTTCTGGGGGCGGGGCTTGTGGGTAGGGGTGGAGCTTGTGTTCTGGGGCGGGGCTCATGGCTAGGGGCGGAGCTTGCGTTCTGGGGGCGGGGCTTGTGGGTAGGGGAGGAGCTTGTGTTCTGGGGCGGGGCTCATGGCTAGGGGTGGAGCTTGCGTTCTGGGGGCGGGGCTTGTGGGTAGGGGAGGAGCTTGTGTTCTGGGGCGGGGCTCATGGCTAGGGGTGGAGCTTGCGTTCTGGGGGCGGGGCTCATGGCTAGGGGCGGAGCTTGTGTTCTGGGGGCGGGGCTCGTGGCTGGGGGTGGAACCAATCTCTGGTCTCTGACAGGTAGTTCTTTGTTTTGTTTTTGTGGCCACAATTGGTTGATTACTCCTGGTGGGGCTCAGGGGACCCTATAGGGTGCCTGGGATCGAACCCAGGCCCCCCTGTAAGCAAGGTTGGCGCCTTCCTTCCCACCTTGTGCTATGTTGACCAGACCCCAGAGCCTTGAGGGGCTCTGTGCTGCTCCTGGGGGTGAGCCAGGGTGAGCTGGGAGAGGGCGTAGGTCGTGTGTCTCCCAGCAGTTCTGTGGGCATCGCACGGGGGTCCAGCAGGGGGCGAGGGCGGTCACCTGTTCTCCTCCCAGTCTCGGGGCTTCTTGGTCTCGTTGGGCTTGATGCAGCGGATATAGTGGGGCGTGCACTTCTTCAAAGTGGCCACCAGGTCGTTGGCTTGTTTCTGGGGGTAAGGGGAAGGCAGGGTGGGGTGCACAGGTGGGTACAGATCCAAGAGATAGAGATAGTCTGGATTGGGGGAATCTCATAGACCCTGAGGAGCTCCTTGGCCCTCAAGCATGGGGCTACGGAAGCAAGAACCGGGTGTGGGGCTGGGGAGCGAACTCCAGGGCTGGGCACAGGCTGGGCATGTGGGAGCCCCAGGACCCAGCGCTGGGTCTGCCCTCCAAGCACCTCCCTAAGGACCAGGGGTGCAGCTCAGTCACATGCAGGAAAGCATGCAGGGGCCAGGGGCTGGAGCGATAGCAGGGCGGGTAGGGCGTTGGCCTTGCACACGGCCGACCTGGGTTTGATTCGCAGCATCCCATATGGTCCCCCGAGCACCGCCAGGAGGAATTCCTGAGTGCAGAGCCAGGAGGAACCCCTGAACATCGCTAGGTGTGACCCAAAAAGAAAAAAAAAAAGAATGCAGAGGCCGGAGATATGGCTCAGTGGGCAGAGCACTGGTTCTGTCTGCTTAGGGTCACTCCAAGCATCAAGCACTGCTGGGTGTGTCCCATCTCTCACCCCACACGCACGCACACACACACACACACACACACACACACACACTCTCACACTCATGCACACATGTGCAGGAATGCCGGGCCAGGGACATGGCTCAGTGTGCAAAGCACCCCTGGCTTTGCAGGAAGGAGGCCTGTGTCCTGTTCCCTAAGCATCGCCAGGAGTGACTCTTACCCCAGCCTCGGACCCCCGCTCCCCTCCCCAGACCTACCTTGATCTTGGATCCCGCGGTGCTGGGCCGGCCCTTCTTGTCTGCATCCAGCTTCTCTGGAAAGAGCATTCGGAGGAAGGCCCTGGGCAGAGGGAGAGGTGGGGTGGGAGGGACAGCGGGACCTGGGGATGCCCTCCCCCAGAGTTGGGGCTGCCCTAATGCCTGGACCCAAGCGGGCGCTGCGCCCAGTAAGTGGGGGGGAGCCAGTGGGTTGCTTTTGCTCCCTGGGTTCGTTGGTCTGGGTTGACTTCACCCTCTATGATGGGACAAGACATGTCAGCGGACAGAGGCGAGGAAACGCAGGGAATGGGTGGGGGGGTGGGGCTCCAAGTCCAAGCGCAGGGCCACGAGTTGGATCCCTGGAACCGACTCACATGCTGAGGGCTATTCCGGCCACAGGAAGCCCGGCCAGACTTCAGGCACACACCGGCCACAGTGAGTCCTGCTGTCTCCAGCAGTTAGCATGTGTGTGGGGAAAAACATGGGTGGGGGGGGGCCAGGAATTGAACTGGGGGTCCTCCCCGCCTCGGCGGCTCTGCCCTCGGGCCCTGTGGGTTCCACTCACTGCTCACTGGACTGCATGAGCTCGATGAGGTCGGAGAAGAGCACATCCCGGTTCCTCTCACAGAAGCCACTGACGTCATAGGAGACCTGGGGCGGGGAGGGAGGCGCTGAGCCCTGGGGGCAGGGGGGCTTCCAGCCTGAGGGGTCAGGGGTCACAGACGACTGACTCTGCCTCAGAACACAGTGTGTGTGGGGGGGGTGGTTGTGTCTTTAACACAACCCCCAGGTCCCTGCAGGTTTGATGTCCAAGGGAAGGTTGGATGGGGTGCAGGCAGGATCAGAGGAGAGATCGCAGGTATAGGTTAGATTCTGGGGGGCAGGAGAAGAGACAGCACCCCTAACTCTGGAGCACAGGCTATGCAGGTGGGAATCCTGGGTTTGATCCCCAGCAACCTGGGTTTGATCCCCTGAGAACCACTGCAGTCACCCCAAGGCATTGAGCTGAGAGTAGCCCCTCAGTACTCCTAGGAGTACTGAGAAAGGCAGAAAAAGGGTTAGGTGCAGGACAGCAGATATGGCATTTGCCTGGCATGTGGCTGACCCGGGTTGGATCTCTGAGCCCCACCAGGAGTGATCCCTGAACTCAGAATCCCCCCCTTCTCCCACCCTTTAACTCAGCTCCCTGACTGGTACAGGGCACTTTGTTGTCGCTTTTTTTTTTTTTTTTTGGTCATACCCAGCAATGCTTAGGAATTACTACTCGGTGTGCGGTGGCAGGAGTAAGCTCTGAGTGATCCTTGAGTGATCAAGTTATCCTTGCTCAGAAGTAAGCCCTGAGCACCATTGGGTGTGGCCCTAAAAATCTCACACCCTCAAAAAGAAAGGAAGGAAGGAAAGGATCAAAGGAGAGAGACAGAGAGACAGAGACAGAGACTGGTCCGGAGTGCAGCGGGTTGAGGAAGGGAATGGTCCCAGGATGGGAGGGGCAGGGCACGACCAATTTCTGGAGGGTCACAGGTGGGCCTGGGGGTCTCCAAGCAGGGATCTGAAGGTGGGACTGTGTCATGGGACGGAGGTTTAGCCAGACTCACAGCTGCGACTCAGTTTGACAGGGTCTGCTGCCTTATTGGGGATCCCTGGGAGAGAGGGGCATTTTTTTTGGCTTTTTGGGTCACACCGGCGATGCACAGGGGTTACTCCTGGCTCATGCACTCAGGAATTACCCCTGGCGGTGCTCGGGGGACCATATGGGATGCTGGGAATCGAACCCGGGTCGGCCGTGTGCAAGGCAAACGCCCTACCCGCTGTGCTATCACTCCAGCCCAAGAGGGGCATTTTTTTGAGGGGGTCAAAATCCCGGGGTGCTCCTGAATTAATCACAGCCATGCAACCTGGGGCTTCCCCATGCGATCACACCCAGCGATGCTCAGGAATTACTCCTGGTAGGACTTTGGTGGGGTGGCAGGGATCCAACCTGGGTTGGCCCCCTGTAAGGCAAGCGCCCTACTCGCCGGGGCCCTCACTTTTTTTTTCTTTTCCCTTTGGTTTTTGGGCTACAGCTGGCTATGCTCAGGGCGCTCTCCTGGTGGGACTCAGATGGTCCTCTGAGGTGCTGGGGATGGAATCCGGGATCGAACCCGGGTCCGCAGCGAGCATCTTATCCGCTCTACTATCAGCTCAGGGCTGGGTAGAGTGTCCTTCCTCATGAGTGGATGGGCCTGGGCTGCAGGAGCGTATCGGGGGCGGGGGGGGGGGTGGGTGGGAAGGGGGGGCGCCTCCCGGTCAGTTCCTGGAGGCCAGTGCACTGCGGGGAGGACTCAGTTCCTGGAGGCCAGTGCACTGCGGGGAAGGGCCGGAAGAAGGGTCTGCAACCTGGGAGTTGACCTGGGAGTTGCAACCTGGGAGTTGGCCTGGGAGTTGCAACCTGGGAGTTGGTCTGCAACCTGCAACCCGGGAAGGGTCTGCAACCTGGGAGTTGCAACTTGGGAGTTGGTCTGCAACCTGCAACCCGGGGAAGGGGCTGCAACCTGGGAGTTGGTCTGGGAGTTGCAACCTGGGAGTTGGTCTGGGAGTTGCAACCTGGGAGTTGGTCTGGGAGTTGCAACCTGGGAGTTGGTCTGGGAGTTGCAACCTGGGAGTTGGTCTGGGAGTTGCAACCTGGGAGTTGGTCTGGGAGTTGCAACCTGGGAGTTGGTCTGGGAGTTGCAACCTGGGAGTTGGTCTGGGAGTTGCAACCTGGGAGTTGGTCTGCAATCTGCAACCCGGGGAAGGGTCTGCAACCTGGGAGTTGCATCCTGGGAGTTGGTCTGCAACCTGCAACCCGGGGAAGGGGCTGCAACCTGGGAGTTGGTCTGGGAGTTGCAACCTGGGAGTTGGTCTGCAACCTGGGAGTTGGTCTGGGAGTTGCAACCTGGGAGTTGGTCTGCAACCTGGGAGTTGGTCTGGGAGCTGCAACCTGGGAGTTGGCCTGGGAGTTGCAACCTGGGAGTTGGTCTGCAACCTGCAACCCAGAGAAGGGTCTGCAACCTGGGAGTTGGTCTGGGAGTTGCAACCTGGGAGTTGGCCTGGGAGTTGCAACCTGGGAGTTGGTCTGCAACCTGGGAGTTGGCCTGGGAGTTGCAACCTGGGAGTTGGTCTGCAACCTGCAGCCCGGGAAGGGTCTGCAACCCGGGCGTTGGTCTGGGACCCCGGGACCCCGCCCCCTGCAGTTCGCGGCGCGGGCGGCAGGGGCGCAGCGCACCTTGCCCGCGTAGTGGTGGATGACGAAGCCCGCGCTCCAGCTGTTGAAATGCTCGTGGCAGCCCACGGCCGCCTGCAGCTTCTGCAGCAGCGTCTGGTCGGCGCCCCCGCCCGTGGCGTGCATGGTGGCACAGACGTCGTCCAGCACGCTCATGATGCCCGGGGGGCTCTGCGGGGGTGCCGCGGGGAGCTCAGCCTTGGCCCCTCCTGCACCCCAGAGAGCTCAGAGCGCAGAGATCCCAAGCGGGTGGCGACCCCCCACCCCCCAGTGAATTGGGGTGGTCGGGGGGGGGGACGGTGCTGGGGATGTGGGGGCGGGGAGCTATGGCCCACGAATGGGGGGAAGCCTGTCGGACCGAATGCACCAGGCAGGGGCCACGGACCGACCCTGGGTCCCAGCCCCTCGGTGGCCCGGGCTCACCAGCTTGTTCTCGATGAGGTCACAGACGATTTTGTTGTTGAAGTACTGGATGGGGGTCCAGCGAATCCCTTCCTGCACATACTCCTCCTGCGGGTGGGTGGAAAGGGGGCCCCGAGAGAGCTCAAAGGGCTGAGTGCAGGCGGGAGAGGTCCAGGTTTGATCCCTTGGCACCCAAGAGCCCCCCGCCCCGTCCCCCCCCCCCCCCACACACACACCCAGCACTGCCAGGAGGGACCTTCTGAGCAATGAGCCTGGAGTGGCCCCCAAAACCGAAATATAAAAATAACAGTAAGAGGAGCTGGAGCGATAGCACAGCGGGGAGGGCGTTTGCCTTGCACGCGGCCGACCCGGGTTCGATTCCCAGCATCCCATAAGGTCCCCTGAGCACCGCCCAGGAGTAACTCCTGAGTGCATGAACCAGGAGTGACCCCTGTGCATCACCAGGTGTGACCCAAAAAGCAAAAAAAGAAAAAAAAAGTGCAGGGGCTGGAGAGATAGCACAGCGGGGAGGGCGTTTGCCTTGCACGCGGCTGACCCGGGTTCGATTCCCAGCATCCTATAGGGTCCCCTGAGCACCGCCAGGAGTAACTCCTGAGTGCATGAGCCAGGAATAACCCCTGTGCATTGCCGGGTGCGACCCCAAAAGCAAACAAATAAATAAATAAAAAGAACAGGAAGGGGCCCGAGTGATGGTACAGTGGGGAGGGCGTTTGCCTTGCAGGTTTTGGTCCCCATCTTCCCACAGGGTCCCCTGAGCACCACCAGGAGTGATCCCTGAGCATGGTGGGGTGTGACCCAAAACCGCAAAGTCAAAACAAAACAATACCAAAAAACCACCAAAACCAAAGAACAGCAAAGGAAACAGTAAAACGGCCAGAGCAGTTAGGGTGTTTTTCTTGCACATGACTGACCTGGGTTCAATCCCTGGCACCCCATAGGGTCCCAGAGGGGTGTGACCCTAAACCAAAAAAAATTTTTTTTAAATGAAAAAACTGTCAAACGATAATTGCTGAAGATATGAATGAGTGAGAAAGCTATTACTCCAGTTCTTGTGAGAACTTTCAAGGCACAAAACCTCTTTTAAAGGAATTCAGGGGGCTGGAGCAATAGCACAGCGGGTAGGGCGTTTGCCTTACACGCAGCCAAACCCGGTTCGATTCCCAGCATCCCATAGGGTCCCCTGAGCACCGCCAGGGGTAATTCCTGAGCGCAGAGCCAGGAATAACCCCTGTGCATCGCTGGGTGTGACCCAAAAAGAAAAAAAAAAAACCCAAGCCAGGACTGGAGCAATAGCACAGCGGGTAGGACGTTTGCCTTGCACGTGGCCGACCCGGGTTCAATTCCCAGCATCCCATAGGATCCCCTGAGCATTGCCAGGGGTAATTCCTGAGTGCAGATCCAGGAGGAACCCCTGTGCATTGCAGGGTGTGACCCAAAAAGCAAAAAAAAAAAAAAAAGAAAGAAAGAAACTCAGAGGTGAAATTAATTTACATTTTGCAGTGGGGGGGTGTGATTCGCAGCAGGAGTGGGTCACTGTGAGGTTCCAAGGATGTGTTGCTGTTCAGGCCTGCATGCAGTGCCAGGGACGACCCACATCACCCCTCGGGGCAGCACCTGGTGGTGCTCGGGAACCGTGTGGTGCCAGAGATCAAACCCGGATCCAGTGACCCCGCCCTCCCCGCTGTCCTATCTCCCGGCCCCTGAAGTTGCATTTTGGAGCCTGAACAGAGACAGGCAGGGGTACAGGTGGGGTGTCCGTGAAGCTCAGCGCCCCGGTACCCCCACTCCCGACCCCAACCCCTGACCCCCAGACGCCCCCTCACCTGCTCTGCCTTCAGTGTGAGTTCGATGAAAATCTGCTGCAACTTCTCGTTGACAAAGTTGATGCAGAATTGCTCAAAACCGTTTTTCTATCGAGCAAGTGGGGGGTGGGGGCGTTCCTCAGTCGGCTGAGGCTGGACATCCCCAAGGGCCATGGGGTCACCGGCCAGGACACAGAGGGGACAGTGTGGGCTTGGGGGGGGGCACAGGGCTGTACCTGGAAGATCTCGAAGCCATAAATGTCCAGCACCCCAATACTGTACTCGTCGTGGGGCTTCTGCATGGCCCGGTTGATGGCCTAGAAGGTGGACCAGACACAAGGTCAGGGCTAGGCTCCCCGAGCCGGGTCCCTGTGCAGCCCTGTCCCTCCCTTTCTGTACCCAGGTGTCACCACAGGGCCGGGGTTCCGGCCTGGAGAGTAGGCTCTGTCCTGACTCAATTTTCTTATCTTTAAAATGGGCTCATGGGGCTGGAGCGATAGCACAGCGGGTAGGGCGTTTGCCTTGCACGCGGCCAGCCCGGGTTCGATTCCCAGCATCCCATAGGGTCCCCTGAGCACCGCCAGGAGTAATTCCTGAGTGCAGAGCCAGGAGTAACCCCTGTGCATCACCGGGTGTGACCCAAAAAGCAAATAAATAAATAAATAAAATAAATAAAATGGGCTCATATGGGGGCTGAGAGATAGTACAGTGGATAGGGCGTTTGCCTTGCACATGGCCAAACCGGGTTCAGTCCCCGACACCCCATATAGTCCCCTGAACCCCACTAGGAGTGAGTCTCCTGAACCCCCACCAGACGTGACCCCTGAGCACAGAGCCAGGAGTCATCCCTGAGCACTGCTGGGTGGGACCCCCTATCCCCCTGATTTATTTTTAATGGGCTCATACAGGGCTGGAACGTCGTGCAGCAGGGAGAGTGTTTACTTTGCATACAGTGAACCCAGCTTCAATCTCCAGCATGACATATGACGCCCCCCAAGCCCCACCAGGAGTGATCCCTGAGCACTGCCAGGTTTGACCATGAAACCGAACAAAGAAAAGAGTGCTGACAACTGCCTTCTGGAGCTTTCCTCTAAGAATCTGTCTGTTGACAGCTGCACTAGCTGAGACTCCACTCTGTAATGCTCACTGTACTTTTTTTCATTATTATTATTTTTATTATTATGGGGCTGGAGCGATAGCACAGCGGTAGGGCGTTTGCCTTGCACGCGGCCAACCCGACGGATCCGGGTTCAATTCCTCCGCCCCTCTCGGAGAGCCCGGCAAGCTACCGAGAGTATCTCGCCCGCGCGGCAAAGCCTGGCAAGTTCCCCGTGACGTATTCAAGATGCCAAACACAGTAACTGGGCCCGCTTGAGCAAATCGATGAATAATAGGACAGTGACAGTGACATTATTATTATTATTATTAATTATTATTATTATTTTGGTTTCGGAGTCACACCCAGTGGTGCGCAGGACTTACTCCTGGCAGGGCTCCGGGGACTCATTGGGGTGCCAGGGTTCGAACCCGGATTGGCCACGTGCAAGGCAAATGCCCTCCCCGCTGTCCTATTGCCCTGGCCTCTTGCCTGCATTCTTGGCTCAATCCCTGGCCCCTCAAGCCCCGCTCAGCACCGCTGGGAGTCGCCCTGGTGCCTTCCAGCACCCCGGGGTCCACTTCACTCCCCCAGCAATAAATTTGGGTCCCGGGGGGATTTGCACAGTGATAGAACACAAAACAGGAGGCCGTGGGTTCAATACCCGGTAGAGTCCCTAATGCCCTCTGACCTGCCAGTTGGGCATCTCCGCACCCCACTGGCATGATGTGGGGGGCATGCCACCCGCTCTCCCTCTCTCCCTTGAGCTCCGGAGCTCCCTGGTTCCTTCCCCCCCGACGCCCACTCGCCTCCACCAGGAAGTCGAAGAGCCGCGCGTACAGCCCCTTGGCCAGGGCGTCGCGGGTGTAGGCGGCCTGCTCCACGTTCAGGGTCACATCGATGGACTCGCTGCGCCCTCCCCAGCGGCTGTCCATCTTGCGGCTGGTCAGCTTCTCCTGCAGGCGCCCACTGTCGATGCCCAGCAGGTAGGCGGGGAAGGCCAGGACTGCGGGGACAGGGATGGAGAGAGAGCAGAGCATCGTGGGGTGCGGGGAACTGTCCCTGGGGGAGAGGGTGGCAGTGGGGGGCTGGGCAGGAGGGGGGAGGGTGCGTCTCTGGCTTCAGGGCCAACCTGGGAGGAAGCAGGTCACGCCTGCATATGCGTGTTCGCGTGCAGGTGTGCAGGACGGCGTGCACGTCGGGTGGCACGCGCACCGTCGGGCGCGCACGCGTGGGTGTCCCTGCGCGCCCTCGCCCAGGCCTGTGCCCGCGCCCAGAGCACCGCACTCACGGTCAGCGCTCTCCACCCGGGCGTAATTCCCATCTTCGCAGAAGCTGATGTTCCCCAGATGCAGAATTCCTGCCACCAGCTGCAGCACCAGTTGCTGGACGTTGGGCGGGATGCCGATGACCTGCATGGCACTCTGCCAGGGTGTCAGGGACTGAGCCCGGAGCTCACGCACCCCGCCCGCCAGCCTCCCTCCAGGGCCCAACCCAGATGCAGTGATCAATCGGGCCATACTTTTTTTTTTCTGGAGGGGAGGAGTGATCACGCTGTGGTGGGGTTCGAACCTGGGGCACCCACATACAGAGCTCTCCGCTCCAGCCCTTTAAGCCAGCCCCTGCCCGTCCTGCCTCTCACAGTCCCCTGAATCCCCACCAGAAGTGATCCCTGAGCACAGAGCTGGCTCCGGGGTGGGGTGGGGGGGACCTGGGGACAAGTCCCTGTGCCTCTCTGAGCCTCAGTTTCGTTCGTTTTTTGGTTTTTGGGGTCACAACTGACACCTGGCAGTGCTCAGGGATTACTCCTGGCTCTGCCCGCAGGAACGACTTCTGGCGAGGCTTGCGGGACCACATGGGGTACTGCAGATTGCTTCTGGGGTCGTGCGCGTGCAAGGCCAGGGCCCTCCCTGCAGTTCTGTCGATCCGATCCCAGACTCAGTTTCCTGGTTGGCCACCAGTCAGGCAGGTCTGGGGGTCGGGGGCGCGCTGAGGGTGTGGAGGGTCCCGGGGAACAGATTGGAGCTCACCAGAGTCTCCTGGAAGTCGCTCTTGTCATCCGTGCCGTCCACCTTGTACGTGTCCGATTGGTTGAGGTAGTAATAGTAGTCGGGGGTCATGAGTCCCAGGTTCTGCCGCTGTTCCTGGGAGGCGCCGTCCAGCAGCTGCGGGGTACACCGTGCTCATCATGCATCCAGTGCGGGGGTTCCACGCCCCCTGCCCTGCTGCAATTCTCTCCCCCCTCCCCCCCCGCCCAACCCCAGCCCTGTTCCTGGCTCCTGGCACCTGGTAATAGATGTGGAAGTTCCTTTCGTTTTCATTCTGCATCACCACGCGGGATTTCTCCAGCAGGAAATTGGAGATCTTCCCGCCATCGGGCTCCCCACCTCGGCTGAACTGGATCTCGAAGTACTTGCCCTGAACCCGAAAGTCACAGGCTGGACACTGGCTCCGGCCGGTCCCCGGGCCCCAAGGGTCTCTTGTTCAAAGTCCCTTGTTCCAGAATCCCTTGTTTCTTGTTTTTTTTCTTTTTGAGCCAGCTGCCTCTGTGCTCAGGGATCATTGCAGGCTCGGGGGGGACCCTCTGAGGTCCCAGGGTTTGAACCCGGGTCTCCTGCGTGTAAGACAAGCGCCCTCCCCGCACTGTACTATCTCTCCAGACCCCAGAACCGGCTCTCAACACGGGTCTTCAAACCTGTTCTCCATATTCTCCAAGAAGCGAGTGGCCTGAGCTCTAATTGTTGAAAGAATGAAAGAAACAAGGGGTAAAAAAAAATGGGCTTGGAAATGTGAGTAGGTGGGCTGGAGCAATAGCACAGCGGGTCGGGCGTTTGCCTTGCACGCGGCCGACCCGGGTTCGATTCTCAGCATCCCATATAGTCCCCCGAGCACCGCCAGGAGTAATTCCTGAGTGCAGAGCCAGGAGTGATCCCTGAGCATTGCTGGGTGTGACCCAAAAAGGCAAAAAAAAAAAAAAGTGAGTAGGAAAAGAAGTAGCCTGGGTGCAACCTGGGGAGTCTTTTATTTTTATTTTTATTTTTTTTGGGGGGAGTCACACCTGGAAATGCACAGGGGTTCCTCCTGGCTCTGCACTCAGGAATGACTCCTGGCGGTAGCTCAGGGGACCCTATGGGATGCCGGGGATTGAACTCGGGTCGGCTGCGTGCAAGGCACACACCCTCCCCGCTGTGCTGTTGCTCCAGCCCCAGCATGGGGAGTCTTTTAAAATGTCACACAGATACGCAGTGGCCCCACACATCTGCTATGCTCATGGGGGACTTTCTGACGACGACGGACCAGAAACAGGAAGTGAGTCTACCAAGCAGGTGTTTTATATGTAGTTGGGAATACGTCTCCGTGTGTGTGTGTGTTTGTGTGTGTGTGAGACAGACTCACAAATCGACTAGAATTGTTGTTGCGCACGGTCTTTGCGTTGCCGAAGGCCTCGAGCAGCGGGTTGGACTGCAGGATGACGTCCTTCACGTTCTGGGGACAAGAGGCAGGTGTGGGGAGGGAGAGGTCAGGCCGCTGCTGCTGGTGATGGACTTCCGGGCAGCCGCGGGGAACCCCCCTTCCCCCCCACTGTCCCATTCACGCCTCACCTGGACCTTCTCGCCCCCGCCGGACACCTTGGAAATGTAGCCCATGATGTACTTGGCGGCCACCGTCTTCCCAGCTCCGCTCTCTCCACTGCAGGGGCACGAGGAAGGGTGGTCAGCACCCCCGGGTGGAGGGAAATACCCTATCTAGTCCCTGATCAGTTCATTCATTCATTCATTCATTCATGCATTCATTCTGTGCGCCACGCACACTATTCCGGGAACTGGAAATAGCATCGTGAATAAGGCAGAGAATCCCTGAAGGAAGCGAGGGATTTAGAGGGTGGACAAAAAGCGAAAAGGATCAAATAGAGGGGTCCAGGGAGCTGGAGAGATAGCCCAGCGGGTAAGGCGTTTGCCTTGCACGCGGCCGACCCGGGTTCGATTCCCAGCATCCCATATGGTCCCCTGAGCACCACCAGGAGTAACTCCTGAGTGCAGAGCCAGGAGGAACCCCTGTGCATCGCGGGGTGTGACCCAAAACGCAAAAAAAAAAAGAGAAAGAAATAGAGGGGTCCAGCGGGGAGGACGCTTGTCGTGCATGCAAGCTGCTGACCCAACCCGGGTTCGATCCCTGGCATCCCATATGGTCCCATGTGCCCCACCAGGAGTGATCCCTGAGCACGGAGACAGGAGTAAGCCCTGAGCACTGCTGGGTATGCGCTCCACCCCACCCCACAAAAAAAGAAGGAATAAGATAGATAATGGTGGGGCCGGAGCGCTAGCACAGCGGGTAGGGCGTTTGCCTTGCAACGCGGTCAACCTGGGTTCGATTCCCAGCATCCCATAGGGTCCCCCAGGCACCACCAGGAGTAATTCCTGAGTGCATGAGACAGGAAGAACCCCTGTGCATCGGTGGGTGTGACCCAAAAAGCAAAAATAAAAATAAAAACGATAATGGCTTAGATGGTACCAAGGAGAGGGCAGAGCGGGGTGGGAAGGTTGTATTCTCCGCGTCAAGAGTTTGACGCGGGGCTGGAGCGATAGCACAGCGGGGAGGGCGTTTGCCTTGCACGTGGCCGACCCGGGTTCGATTCCCGGCATCCCATATGGTCCCCTGAGCTCCGCCAGGAGTAGTTCCTGAGTGCATGAGCCAGGAGTGACCCCTGAGCATCGCCGGGTGTGACCCAAAAAGCAAAAAAAAAAAAAAAAGAGTTTGAGAGTTTGACGCAAGGGCGGGAGATGGTTCAGAGAACTTGAGCCTTGCAGCTACATGCCTCAGATCTTATTTTTTTTGAGCTGCACCCATTGGTGCTCAAGACTAACTCCTGGCTCTGTGCTCAGGGATCACTCTTTATTTTTTCTGGTTTTTTTTTTTCTTTTTGGGTCACACCCGGCAATGCTCAGGGGTTCCTCCTGGCTCTGCACTCAGGAGTTACTCCTGGTGGTGCTCGAGGGACCAGATGGGATGCTGGGAATCGAACCCGGGTCGGCCGCGGGCAAGGGAAGCACCCTCCTCGAGACACTATCTCTGGAGCCCCAGATGACGGCGTTTCATCCCTGGCTTTGCATGGTCTCCTTAGCACCTTCAGAAGCAACCCTTGAACCCTGCAGGGGCGGGACCCCAGAGCATATAAACAGTTGTAAAGAAAATCTCCCTGGGCTTAGGGATGTTGGGGGGGGGTGTCCGGGGTCCCCCCACCCCTTACCTAATGATGACACACTGGTTCTCACAGTCGATAAGCATGTTCCGGTACATGTTGTCGGTGAGGGCGTAGATGTGGGGGGGATTTTCATACTGGGCCTGGAGGGGGACCGCGGGGCTCATTCCCTGGCTGGGGGGGCGGGGCTTCCTAGGGGCAGCGCCTCCTCCCACGACCTGGGGGTCCCGGCCTCACCGCGCCCTGGTACAGGTCAATCTCCCGGTCGGTGAAATAGGGCATCTGCTTGAAGGGGTTCACGGAGATGAGCACCGAGCCGATGTAGGTCTGGGTGGTGAAGTGGTTAAGGGTCTTGCGGCATTTGGGTAGCTTTGTCCCTTACAGGCACCTGTCCCCGTGTGTGTGTGTGTGTGTGTGTGTGTGTGTGTGTGTGTGTGTTGGGGGGGGAACGGGGGGCGGGGAGGGGACCTCCAGCAGTGCTCAGGGCTGACTCCTGGCTCTGCACTCAGGGATCACTCCTGGCGGTGCTCCCCGGGGGACCAGATGGGATACTGGAGTTTAAACCGGGTTAGCCACGTGCAAGGCATACACCCTTCCCACTGTATTGTCTCTCTAGCCCCTGTGTGCCCCTTGACCTTGCTCCTTGGATGTGGGACTCCCCAAACCCCGTGACTTTTTTTTTTTTTTTTTTTGCTTTTTGGGTCACACCCAGCGATGCTCAGGGGTCAGTCCTGGCTCTGCACTCAGGACTCACTCCTGGCGGTGCTTGGGGGACCCTATGGGATGCTGGGGATCGAACCATCCAGGTCGGCCGCGTGCAAGGCAAACGCCCTCCCTGCTGTGCTAGCGCTCCGGCCCCAACCCCGTGACTTTGAAGAAAAAATACAGTGGGCCGGACTTTGCAAAATATTCCAGCAGCGCTAAGGGGTGCAAGATTTCAGGAAGCAAGTGGTACCAGGGGTTGAGCCCCAGTCCCTGTCTGGAAAGAGCTGTCTGCCCTGCCCAGGATGGAGACATCTGGATCGCTCTGTGTGTGTATGTGTGTGTGTGTGTGTGTGTGTGTGTAAGTTTTGGTCTGGCGGGGGGTGTGAGATAGTCTTGGGGGAGAAGGCGTTCGCCCTGCATCTGGCTGATCCCAGTCCCATGCCTGGCATCTAGGGTCCCCTGACCATCACAGGGTGTGATCTTGGAACCACAGTGCGGTGGCCCCTGCCCGGGCAATGCCAGGCCTGAGACGCTGCGTCCCCCGGTCCTGGCACTGAACCACCAGCCACTTAGCTGAGGGATCTGAAACGCTGAGCACTGCTGGGAAGTCTCCACCCTCCAAAAAATCCCCTAGAATTTCGACTGGAGAGAGGACCCTGGGGGAGGCACTTGCCTTGCACTTGGCTGACCTTGGTTCGATCCCCGGCCCCCCACAGGGTCTCCCAGACCCCCGTTGGGAGTGATCTCTGAGCACAGAGACACGAGTCAACCCTGAGCACCGCCGGGTGAGACCCCCCAAACAGAACAGCAGGGACTGAGCCCAGAATGGGCAGCAGTGGGCCATCCCGGGGTCTCCAGAAAGCCACCCCAAGGAGCGGGCACTTGGCCCATCCCCCCTGGCCTCCCCCACCCCCCGCTCCACGCATGCGGGTACGAAGATGTAGTCGTCCATGAAGCGCTTCCGCAGGTTGCCCACGATCGCGTCCTCCGTGATCTGCGGCAGCAGGACCATGTCGTCCACGCCGCTCTGCTTCACGTTGTGGCTCTGCCAGTGGAACCGCTCCTTGCTGCCCTGGGAGGGGACACGGGTCGGGGACACCCGAGGGCCGTCAGAGAGCCTCCCCCTGCCCCCCTCCCCACGTGGGACGGCTTTCCCTTGCCATCTCTTCTGGCACTCTTTCGTCACAGGACACCTTGGTCGGGCCCCTCGCTTCCCCCAAAGGACCCTTCCTCCAGGAAGCCTGCCTGGCTTTCTTTTTTTTTTTTTCAGCCTGATGGAACTCATCCAAGGGCCTTGAAGATGTACACACCCCACACCCCAGCTCTCCTGGGGTCACTTTAGCCTACATGGCAGGAACTGGGCACATGGGGAGCGGAAGGGGGTGTAGGTGTGAAGATCCCCCATCTGATGAGCGCCCTCATTAGAGGAAGTCATGCTCTCGGAAGCT